TATTTTTTTATCGGCATATTCCCTGCTATAAGCCTTTAAACCGTAGTGGCATTTACTAATTCTCTCAAATTCAAAAAAAAATAATTATTTTTCCACCTTTTATCCAAAAAGCATTCTTCCAAACAATGTTTTCTGTCTTCCATCATTTCCACAATTTTAATTTCTTTAATATTTTCAGAAAAAGCATTGTGGGGATAAACCTGAAGATTTTTGTATATTTTTAAATTAAAAATTAAATTTGCCTCAAAAGCAAAAGGTATTAGTTTATCTACTGCTTCTTCTGCCTGTCTTGAATCCTGAAATTCCAAAAATATTAAATCTTAAATAGATTTTGGGGTTTCCTATTTAAAGATGTTAACCATGGATAGATCAAATCGTGATAGAGTGCAAGTCGCATTTTGGAAATTTTTCGTTGGGTCGGAATCTATCCAAAAAAGTTTGGGTATCAGCTTTCTGATACCTCTATCCACCCCTTATTAACTTCTACTATAGTAATTTCCTTATACATAAACCCCGTTGATATTTATTTTACACCACACTATCTGCCATTATTGTTTGTAGATTTGGTTGATCTGAATATCAAAAGATTTCCCAGGATTCCTCAACCCTATTGTTATGCCCTTTTAATTTCTTTATTTTTTCTCACCAAATTTCCATTTTTTGTAGCCAAACAAATTTTTTCAAAATAATTTCTTTTAATATTATTTCTTTTAAAATTTTCATTATTTTCAATTAAAGGCTTTCTTTCCAATATTTCTGATCTATTTTCATCAAAAAATTCACAAATATTTTCTCCAATTTCTTCTTTTGAATTATTTTTTATTTTATTATTTTTTAAATAAAATGTAAATCCATGACAAATAAATTTATTATTAATATCAACAGAATTTAAATTATTTAGACATAAATCGGCACATTCCTTTAAAATGATTTTTTAATTATCAGATTTGAAGGAAAATTGGGAGACATAATACTATCCTAGATTAAGGATCCGGAGCTTTTCAGGATTATTTCGGAGCCTGATTATTCTAATGGGATCCTGTCAGCATGATCTGAAATAGAGGGACAAATTGTAAGGAAAGAGGGAGGGATCCAGCTAGCTAGCATTTAAAAATTAATAGGCGGAGGATCAAGGATTAATATGTTTGAGACCAAGATTGTGGAGTTGTCAGGAGGTAGCAGGATCAGTCCTCATTTTTTACATCTTTTACTAGATCAATTTCTCAATTAAAATTTTAAATTACCTCAATAGAATCCATTCTCTTAACAAAATTTGCTTTAATTTTTACATTAATTTCTTCGTTTATATACAACCTTTGATGACGTAAAAATGTATTTAGTTCCCCATTTGCGCATTCAAACGCTTTTAAAATTCCATTTAAACAGAATAATAATAGTATTTGGCAAATAATAAGATTATTTGGCATTACTTTACTGATTGGCCCTTTTCTGTAATGGTCAATTAACTTTTGCTAAACAAGATGTTTTAGGACAACAATAAATTTCTGACTATGTCCTCCAAAATTTTAAAAGTTTTGGGGATCTATTGATGACAAGCTCGTGGATACTTTTAGCAAAAAAGACACTTTTTAGTAGTCCAGAAACACAAATAAAATTACTATAAATATTAAAGGAGTTCTAGCAGATTTTTAAATTTTTTAAAGGTCTTAAACAGTCAAGAAAATAATATAATTTTCATAATCAAACAATTTTTATTTAACTAGAAAATTAAAAATAATAAAAACACACTTCTTTCTCCTGCTTTAAACTATTAAAAGAAGCACTTATATAATATTTAAGCATTCATATATCCAATAAAAATGTTTCTATTTAAAAAAATTAATGTGTGATCAACAACTTTTTTTTATTATTTTTATTTTTATTAAGTCCTTTCTTTTGTTTTTTTTATTGTAAAAACTATTTTTATTAAGAAGCACTTGTCTTTAAATTTTAAAGAAATAAATTATTAAATAAACTGTAGAAAGTCTATATCCACCTCAGGGGGGATAAACTGTGAACCCCTGATCCACGCCTTTAAAATTTTTTTTTCCTTAATCATAAAATTTTTTAAAATATTTAGCCAATACTTACTTGGCTAAAAATCTATTCTTAATTAAAGAACTTTTTATTTGATACAGATCAAATCGATTTTTATTTTTAACGACCGATTGGAGAGACTGATTAATGGGGATCTCCTTTCTATTTATGTATGTATTTGTTGCTTTAATTAAAAAAATTACTAGTTAGCTCATGTATAGACAAGGAAAGATTAATAGAAATCTTTTGATTTAAACGACTTTCTCATAAATTTTAAAAATTGGAAAAAAGGATTGGGATTGGATGTTCTGACTCTCTTCTAGAATAGAAGAATTAAAATAAATTTTCATTCATCTTTAAAATCTTTTTTAAATTTAATTTAAATTTTCTTTAAATACCTATTTTTATCACCTTCATATTTTACCCCTTAACCTTAATAATTAATTCTCCCTTAAATCTTAGAGGGAAGAACTTTGTAACATACACTTATTTTTGAATTTATTATTACTATTTTAGTTATCACATACATATAAATTTATTTTTTTATCTCCTATAAATCAACACGAGGATGGACTTTGTTCTTTATTACCCTACACACATGTCTCTGTGTGGTTCCCCGTTAATTTTTGGGGAAGGAATTTTTGGGGGAATTTTTCCATTAAAAGAAACATAAATATATATTATAGATTTTGAGATAAAAATTACTCCGCGTGGTTGGACTTTGATTTATATTTTTATTTAATCTTATCTCTATTTTTGGGGTATTTAAAGATAAAAGAATTTTTGATTTTTTCTCATTAATGCGACACGAAACTTGCAACCTTAAATTTCCGTTTGCCGTACTTTACTATAATTTTGAAGGATTATCATAATTATGTAACGAATATAGGTTTGTCGGTTCAGTTCGGTTAACGGAAGAATTTGGTGAAACTGACAACCCTAGTCCAAGAAACATTCAAATAACTTCCTATTAAGTAGACTCTCTATATAACGACACCTCTTTAGCCGAACTTAATTTGCGTTATAAGCCTTTCTGGTGTTAGGATTGGGGATCAAATCAAACAGTAACAACCACTCGGGACCGAATTAAGGTGAATTTGGGAGAGAATGATCAGAGATTGGAGGAATAACCAGGGATATAGGGATTCTGTCGTTATTTTTAAAGCAATACCTATGTATATTTTTTAATTTTTTTAATTCGATTAACCTAATCCTCTCCTTGGTAAACTACTATTTTGCAAAGATCTCCTCTAATATTCCTGTTCCTTCTCTCAATTTATTTTTATTTTCCTTCTAAATAAACCCTTCCTTCGCTTCCCACCCCTTTGATTTACTATTTTTCACCGCCAAATATGCCCAACATATCAAAAACTGTTCTCCATCGATATAAATTAAATGATTAATCGGGGTAAGAAAAACAAAAAAAAATATTTTTCAAATAAATTTTCGATCTCTCATACAGCTAAAAATTCAATTTTTGTGCATATTACTCTCTCTAAACGTCATTAACTGTGTTACACTTGTGTGTTCAATATTTATTTTCTTTTAATTTTTACTATGAAAAATCAGATCTCTCAGTACAATTTAAAAATATTAGTTAAAATATTTTCTATAAAATTTAAAAAAGTTTAACAAAAATAAAAAAAACCTAAAAAAAGAGACCCTCGAATACCCTTTTAAAAACCCCTCGTACGTCACATCCCTTGATGCTCCTCACCAGGGATCCTGCCGACAAAACAAATAAATTTCACGATTTCGGGAATCGGGTCGACGGGATCCCTGCTCCTCACGTTCAAAAACCTGACAACACTCTCACATACAACCCTACACATTTTAAATCGGCTCATGTCAGTTAGGTCCTAATTGTGTTTCAGTCTTAACTAGTTGACTCCCCCTCACATGTCACCTACATCCGCAGCTAGATTAAGTCACGAAAGGTGTCACTTTACTTCCCTTGATACTCCTCACATTCAAACCCCTTTTTAATCCCCTCACACACACACTTTCTTCTTAAATCCGCTCAGGTCCCGATTGTGTCTTAATCTTAACTATCTGACTCCCCCTCTTATATCCTCACATATCCACCTACATTCGCAGCTAAATTAGGTCCCGAAAGGTGTTTGTCCTGATCAAATTTTGATAAAAAAAAGTCTTTTTTGTTAATTAATTTAAATTGTTTACATTTATTTTTATCATTAAATTTAAAAAATATCAATAAAAAATTAGTATATTTTTCTAAAAAATTTCTTTTTTTTAATCATTCCCCCTATATATTTTTATGTAGAGGAAAGTCTCCCCCTATACAAACAATTTATTTTGTTTTTCATTATTTTTCCATCCATTCCCCCAATATCAAAAACATCGATAAAAATAATAAAATCATTTTTTTTCTTTCCATAAAAGTAAAAAAATAAAAATAAAAGTGTACTTTTATTTTGATAAAATTAAAAAAAAAATCAGAAAAAAAAATTTTAGCAAAAAAAAATAAAATTAAAATTAAATTTTGAATAAAGCGGGTTCTATTTAACAACAAAAAAAATGTCACAGACTATCGCCAAAAATTTTTATCAAGTTGGTTTAAATGATAAGAATCATTTAAAATTTAATATTTTCAAGGTGGTAAAGACAGCGCCAAAGGGTCGTTATAAAGGAATTAAACGAAATTACGAAGTTGAGGATTTGTTGAAATTAAGAGGATCTATTGATATTGAGTAAAAATATATATTTTTATTTTTGGAAAATATATTATAGTTAATTATGGTTATAGTAACCCTCTCAAAGGAATTTGATATTAAAGGTATTTCGGGGAGATATATATCCCCCCGAAAATGCTCCCCGAAAATGCCGGGATTACTGCCTTTTAAATGCGAAGGAGGCCATCCCTCCTGCTTAGAACCCATCCCTAAATAAGAAAGGATTGAAAAAACCTCAACGCCTTCTAAAACTAGTAAATTTTCATTTTTATGTACTTTATCAACAATTATGGGAGAAAGCTTCCCCGGACTTACACTATCACCAGAATAGAAAACAAAATTTTGTTAAATAAAAAATATTTAAGTTACACATTAGCAACCAGAGGTGCAAATAAATTATGGCAATTGTTACATACAGAACCCTATATAGCTGCATTGGGTGCTCTAACTGGCAACCAAGCTGTTCAGATGGTTAGGGCAGGGCTTAAAGCTATATATTTGTCTGGTGATTTTCAAAATTTCCTTTAAAATAATTTTAAATTGAAAATAGGTTGGCAAGTAGCTGCTGATGCAAACACTGCCGGAGACATGTGAGAATTATTTTGGAAATTATAAATTTATTATGAACGAATCCTCGATATAAAATACCCGACTGAATTATGGTGCCTTATAATGGGCTTTATCTTAACGAGGGAAAAACCGTTCAGCTAGCTCTCCCCACCTTTATACCCGCTTGGGGTATTTTATAATTTCATATTAAAGCTTGGATGTACAATTATGAGTATTTATTTTTAGGTATCCCGACCAGTCACTTTATCCTGCCAATTCTGGTAAACCTTTTATTCATTAAAGGTTGCGAGTATATTTATAAAAATTTTTAGGGCCTGAACTTGCCCGAAAAATTAACAGGGCACTACGACGTGCTGATCTTGTTGAGTGTGTTGAAGTAAAAATAACTGAATCCTTTTTTAATTAAAAATTTTTATAGGCTGAGGATTACAAATCTCAGCGAGATTGGTATGTTCCCATAGTTGCCGATGCGGAGGCTGGCTTTGGGGGTGCTCTAAATTGTTTTGAACTTATGAAAGTAAATTTAATTGGAAATTTCCGTAAAAATTTTTTTTTAATTCTTTAAAGGCCTATATCGAAGCTGGAGCATCCGGTGTACATTTTGAGGATCAATTGGGGTCAGAGAAAAAGTGTGGACATATGGGGGGAAAAGTTTTGATCCCTACAGCCCAACATATTCGCCATCTAAATGCTGCACGTTTGGCAGCCGATGTTTGTGGAGTTCCAACAATTATAGTAGCTAGAACTGATGCAGAATCTGCACGTTTAATTACTAGGTACTTGAGGAAAGGAAATTTTTTTTTTAATTTTCTAAAGTGACATTGATGAACGTGACCATCCATTTATCGACAAACACGCGGGAAGAACGGCTGAAGGCTTTTATCGTTTACGTGAAGACAATGCCATCCAATCTTGTATTGAACGGGCTAAGAGCTATGCACCATATTGTGATTTAATTTGGATGGAAACGTAAAATTGAAACGATTTTTGATTTTTAAGAAAATTATTTTTAAGTTCACATCCAACTTTGACTGATGCTAGAGAATTTTCTGAGGGTGTAAGGAAGGTAGAAAAATTATTTTTAGAGGAACAAGAGCCTATACAAGGAGGAGAACTAGAAATCTTTCTCCAGACTGACCGAACTAGGAGGGTCTTACAAGGATTGAGATCGGTATCTCGAAAAATCTCTCATTCTCAATGACCGGGATTTTTGTTTGAGATGTCATACAAGAATCTCTGTCCGATCTCTAGTCACTCACATTGTCAAGAAAAAAGGATTATTGCCATAAAATTAAACTTTTAAGGAATTCCCCGATAAATTATTTGCCTACAATTGCTCGCCTTCATTTAACTGGAGACAACATTTGAGGCCTTCAGACATGGAAAAATTCCAGCGTGAACTTGGCGCTATGGGATTTAAATATCAGTGAGAGAAAAGATTTTTCTGCTTTTAAAAATTTAAACTCAAGATTTATCACTCTTGCTGGCTTCCACACCAACAATTTTAGCGTTTTCGATTTGGCTAGGAATTATAAAGAACGCGGTATGGCTGCATATTCTGAATTACAGGAAAAAGAATTTGCTGCAGAAAAGTGCCTATTCTAATAAAAATTTATAAAATTTTTAAAATTAAAAAAAGATTTGGCTACACAGCAGTTAAACATCAACGAGAAGTAGGGACAGGATATTTTGATTATGTTGCTCAAGCTGCTGCCGGGGGTATTTCTTCAACGACTGCACTTAAGGGGAGCACGGAGGAAGCTCAATTCCATACAGCTACGGCATCTGCAGATGAGGATGAAATTGTGACGGTAATCCTTCAAGATTAGTTATTACAAAAATCAGACCTCACTTTTATTACACCTCCATTTAAAATACCCCTCATTATAAGGTACAAGTGTGTAGCTTATAGTGAGGCTAGACCCCCAATAATAGATGACCTCGATGCTACGATTATTTAAGATACGTTTTTTAATTTGGCTGACAATTGAGCAACACCCTCTATTAAAGAGACACCTCATTATAAGATACAAAATTTTCATCCCTAAGGGTTATCTTATAATAGTGATTAGGGCTGACTGTATTTACTAAATAAATTCTATAAAATAGATCACCGCACCTGAAAATGCTGGAGATGAGACTATACTCACTCCCGATGCCCTCCGTTTCCTTCGCGAACTCCATCAAAAATTCGAGCCTCGACGCCATTCTCTCTTAGCTCAACGTAAAATTCTTCAATACAGACTCGATCAAGGAGATTATTTCCCCGATTTTGATTCAACTACAAAAAATATTCGTGAAGATTTGGGGTGGAGTGGTGCTGAAATTCCTGAAGATTTGCTTGATCGTCGTGTAGAAATTACAGGGCCAACAGACAGAAAAATGGTTATTAATGCTTTGAATTCTGGAGCTAAAGTATTTATGGCTGATTTTGAAGTGAGAGAAATTTTTTCTTCCTTTTTTATTCAAATTTAATAAAAAAAGGATGCAAATTCACCAACTTGGAGGAACCAAATTGAAGGACAAATTAATTTACACGAAGCAATCCGTGGGCGAATCCATTATATTAACCCAATCACCAAACAAGAATACACCCTCAAGAAAAATACAGCAGTTTTGAAAGTTCGTCCCCGTGGTTGGCACTTGCCAGAAAAACATGTCCTTATTAATGACAAGCCTATGTCCGCCTCTGTATGTTGTTTTGAAGAACCGGGGGCTTTTATTTTTTTAATTTTAAGCTTTTCGACTTTGGTCTTTATCTTTTCCATAATGCCAAAGCTTTGCAAGAGAAGGGAAGCGGCCCGTATTTCTATTTGCCCAAACTTCAAAATGCACAAGAAGCCCAACTTTGGGCTGATGTTTTTGCCTTTTCTGAGGAGAGACTGGGATTGCCTAAATCTACAATTAAGTGCACTGTCAGTATTTTTAAATTAATTAAAACAATTAAAGTTTACAAACTTACTAGTTTATTTCAAGTTTGCAAACTTGAAAACTTGGTCGTTGGGGTTATATAAATAAACTTAAGCAGTACATATTAGCATAGTTAAAACTTGAATTAAGTTGTAAACTTGATTAATATTTGTGTATTTCAAGTTTACAAACTTAAAAATAAAATATTAAAACTTATGCAAAGTTTCAGGTTTATTTGTATTATTAATGTATTTTTAGTTGAAACTTTAATTAAATTTATAAACTTGAGTAAGCAAACTTAAGAAATAAACTCAAATTTATTATTCAAGTTTATTCCTAATCCTTTCAGGTTTTAATTGAACACTTGTTGGCAACATTTCAGGTACTTAAAATTTAATTTTCATGCTTCAAAATTAAAAAAAATTTAAAATAGATGGACGAAATTGTTCATGCTTTGAAAGATTATGTTGTTGGTATTAATTGTGGCCGTTGGGATTATATCTTTTCTTATATTAAAGTTTACCTAATTTTTATTTTAATTAATTTAATTATTCTTTTAAAGGTTTTTCGAAATCATCGAAAATTTTTGTTGCCAGATCGTTTCTTAGTTGGTATGCAAAATTCAAAAAAAATTGAAAAATAAATTATTTTTAAAGGAATGACTTCCGATTTTCTCCGTGCTTATTCTCTCCTCTCAATTAAAGTTGCCCATCAAAGAAAAATTTTTGCAATGGGAGGAATGGCCGCGCAAATTCCTATTAAACATGACCAGACAGCTAATGAGGAAGCATTAAAAGCTGTTAGAAAAGATAAAGAAAGGGAGGCTTCTGACGGTCTTTATATAAAATTAGGGAAGATATTCACTGGAAAATTTAGGACATGACGGTACTTGGGTCGCCCATCCCGGACTTGTGCCTGTTGCCCAAGCTGTATTCGATGCCCACATGAAAGATGGACATAATCAAATACTTAAACAACTTCCCGACTTTTTCACCGACAATCAACGATTGACTTCACCTCCGGAAGGAGTAAGAACTGAGGCTGGGTTCCGACGCAATATTTCTATAACTTTGGGTAGCTAAAAAATTAAAAAAAAAATTTTTTTGAAAATTTTTATAGGCTATTTGGATAGTTGGCTGCGTGGTACAGGCTGTGTTCCATTATACAATTTAATGGAGGATGCAGCAACGGCTGAAATTAGTCGTGCACAGCTTTGGCAATGGCTTCGTCATGAAGCGCGTTTGGAAGGTAAAAACGAAAAATTTTTTCAGAAAAGAAAATTTTTTTTAATTTTTAAGATGGACGTACTGTTGATCCTCAACTTGTTAAAATGACTATAGCATCGTAAAAATTAAAAAAATTTTTTTTTGTTTAAACAAGGAATCTTAGGGAGACTGAGCGTCGTTTAGTACGTGCCGGTTCTGTTGTAAATAGAATTCCTGAAGCTTCTGAACTTTTGGAAAAATTTGTTTTGGAGCCTGAATTGAGCGATTTTCTTACTTTGGTAAATAATAAAAATATTTAAAAATTTATATTTAATTTTAGGATGCTTATGATAAACTTGTCTCAGAGGGAAAATAAATAATTCTTTGTGGAAAAAATAATAATAAATATTTTAATTAATTAATAACTAATAATAATAATGTATTTTTTTACTTAAAAGAAACTTACTAATTTAAATTATGTAAAAATAAATATTTAAATTAAATGCTTCAAAAATTAAATTTTCAAGAGGTTTTATTCTAGGGATTGTATCCTTGGAGTGATGGAAGTTTATTAATTCGGTTCATCATTTTTAGGTACAGCTTTTAATGTACTTTCATATGAGCTATCGATTCTCTATATCCGTAAAGATTTTTCAAAAAAATTTTGTTTTACCCCAATATTTTCTGAAATATGCACTTCATATGGAAGAATACTATAAAATTTTTGAACAAGAGGGGCCTCCCGTTTTTGCCGTCAATTTTTATATATAGTTTTAATACTCTATCGAACGATTGCCCTAATCAAGAAAGATTTTTTCTGTATTTTTTATTAACTAATTACCGACTTTATTATTTGATGAACTTCAAATTTTTCTTCTACTTTCAAAATTTCCCTCATTTACCTTCATGAAAAATTTTAGTCTTTAATTACTCCCCTTTTAAACAATTTTTACCTACATATTTCCTTTAAGCAATGCGCCATTTATTCTATCGTGTCAAGGCCAACTTTTTTTTTCTCATTTTATAATAAATGGAATGAATGAAGGAATAAATTGAGTTCATCTTTATTTTATTTTTACTTCCAATCCTTTCTTAAAAAGCGAAAAATGTGTCCATTCCGGAAGATATACTAACACTTTAAACCAGCACCCTAAGGACCTATTAACTCTGAAGCCTACAACTTTGAAAGCAAAAGAGATTCAGAGGAATTAAGAGGATATCGATGGATTTGGTGTGATTGAAGTGGAAATAGATTTCTGCCCATCCAAATCTCTATTTCTATTTTTCCTCAATTTTTACACACTTACAATACCTGATCATAGGTTCTAAAATACATAAAGGGGTACTTTTTTCAGAGAGCTGGGTATTTATCCCCCATTATCCCTTAAATCCCTCGATATTTCCTTTCAAAATTTGTAGGTCTTCAGGGTCTGATCAGGGGTATTTAAGTCTTCGGAGTGTAGATCTTCAGGGCTGACCCCAAAAAATATTTTTTATTCAAAAATCTAGACCTCTCTTATCCATCTAAAATTATCAAAATTATCAAAAATTCTTCCTTTTATCAAACAAAAAATATTTAAATTTATTTTTTAATCTTTTTTCTCTTTCAATTTTATTTCACTCAATTGCTCGCGCAGATTTATTTACAAAAATATTCACATTGAATGTCCATTTTTGGATTTTCTCTCTCTCCCATTTTATTAAATGCCACTAACCTTCCCTTCATTTTTGTGATGTTCACTGCGTCAATAATTTACAACAGATTTAGGTCACTCTTCAATGCTCGTTTTACTCTTGTATATTTTAATAAATATTTTTATAATTTATATACCAATAATCTGCGCAAAAATTTTAAAAATTTTTTTTAATTTTTGAAAAAAATTTTTGGATATTTTAAAATTATTTTTGGATATTTTTTTAATTAAAAAAGAAAAAAGAATATTCTTCAATTTTATTTTTTATTTGTTTTGTTGCCGGCTTAATGTAGCAAATAAAGAATTCTTTTCAATATTCTTGGAAATGGATTTTTACTTCAAATTTTTTTATTTATTTTTGTGTTTAATCCAAGAAAAAAAATATTTTTGAATAAAATATTAAATTAAAAATTGTTCTGATTTTTAATTTTGAAAAATTAAATTCTGATTTTTAAAATAAATTTAGAAATTTTTTTTCTAATTCCAAAAAAAATTTTTATTTTTTAAAAATATTTTCTTGTTCCAATTTTTTCCTTTTCATAATCCATTAAAAAAAATTTTTTTTCAAACCATTTCAATAATTCACTTTTCCTTTTTTTATTAAATATTAGCCCCTGCGCAAGGATTAATCTTATTTTTAAATAGAATTAATATATAGAACTTTTTTAAAATATTTTTTTGTAAATTTTCACTATTTAAATATATATTTTAAAAAATTTATTTTATTTATTTTTAAGCAAATTTTATTTAATTTTATTATTAATTATTTTAAATTATGATTTTATTATTTATTGTTTATTTATTAATTAATTTTATTCATTATACAAAGGGTATATTTTAATTAAAATTCTGATTTATAAAATTAAATTAAAAATTGTTCTGATTTTTTATTCTGAAAAATTAAATTCTGATTTTTAAAAAATTATTCTGATTTTTTAAAAATAAATTCTGGTTTCTAAAAGAAATTCTGATTTTTTAATAATAAATTCTGGTTTTTATAAAGTAAAATTATTCTGATTTTTAAATAATTCTGATATTAAAAATTAATTTCTGATTTTAAAAAATTCTGATACATAATATAAAATTATTCTGATCAATTTTTAAGTAAATTCTGATTTATAAATAATTTCTGAATTATAATATTCTTAATAATTCTGATTTTTTAAATTAAAATTTAAAATTAAATTCTGATTTTAATTTAAAATATAACAGAAGCAACACCTTCTTCACTCCCTTCACTTAATTGCCAACCAATTTATGTTAGGTGGCCAAGAGTTAAATTAAATAATCAAATTGATACAAATTTGTCTTCTTCAATTATTGAGAATAATTTGTCCTTTTCTGATTGTCAAAATTTTTGTAATTTTGAATTAAATCCTTTCAACAAAAATAAATATTTACAGGTAGTTATTTTACTTGAAAATTTTCGAAAATTCTTTAAAAATTTTTAAAAAGTTCTGAAATTTTTCCAAAAAAATTAAAAAAATTTCCTTAGTGTTCTGCCATTAATTACTTTGTCGGTTTAACTAATCATTCAAATACCTGTCAACTTTTTAGTAGTGAATATGTTCAACATACTGATGGGTATATGGAGGCGGATGATAGGTACAGTACATATATTTAAAAAGATAATTTCCGCCAAAATTGAAAAGACGTCCTTCTTGCGGATACTTTTTTAACTTTTCTCTCTCTCCATGCATTTTTGTTGCAAACAAATAGGGTTGAGGGCACGATCCGGCCCGGTCCGAATGATCTGGTCGGACATCGAATTTTGGGCTAAAAAGATTTGGTCGGGCCGGTCCGATAAAAATGACTTGAACGTTGGCCCGACTCGAAAATCCCAACCCTACAATTAATATAATTATTAAAAAAAATCAAAATCCACACAAAATGTCAGCAAAAAAGATGTCGCGCACGTTATCAGAATTCCCCATTCTTCCTAGTTTTTAAACACCGTTTTCAACTTCTTTTTTTATTCAGATACACATTTTATTGGAAATTTTGTCTTGAAAGTTTGAATTTTTAAAATCCTTCACAAAAATTTCAATTTAAGCCTCAAAACGTTGTACCGGCGAGTATGCCTTTACATTTTTCTCAGACCGTTATATGTTGTCCAGCGATGTTTTTCAAATTAAATTTACTTCAAGTTTGGAAGAATGTTTGGCGTTATGTTTAAATAGCGCGGAAACTTCAAAATCAAATGTTTGTAAAAGTGTGTCTTTTAACAGAACAGATGGGGGTTTTTTAGAATAATTTTAAAAAATTATTACATATTTCTTTTGAAAAGGTTGCCATTTATCTTCACAAAATCAACATAGCAAACCAACCTCAATTCGTATTAATAATAGTTTGCTTAAAAAATTTTTCAAATAAGTTTTTGTCAAATTTTAGATCCAAACTATAGAATTGATTATTACGAAAATAATTGTTACAACAGTAAGTTTAAAAACAAATTTTTTTAAATAAGTACCATTGGATAGTGTCACTCCTATTCATTCACAAAAATGGCATATGCTCTATTTCCCCAGAAAATTTGGGGAAAAATCTCTTAACTTTAAGCTAATAAAGATGGGTGTCGAAGTGGTCCTGATTCAGGGTCTAGGGGTTCTAGAGCCTATTCCACTTGTCTTTCAAGGCTTTAGCCTGCTTAAAATATAAATTCCCGGTTTTGGAAATAGGGGTTATTGACACAAAATAATTTTGGAATTACCGATTTTGAGGAATCGGGTCGGCTAGACCCCCTCCCCCCTTTCCGATTTATACTGTACAAAATTAAAAAAAACTTTTTCAGATAGTTTTACGTTTACTTCAAATTGTGAGCCTACCGGCATTCGAGTATATTCTTTATTTTCTCTAAAATTTATTTTTCCACTTCAGATAACCGTAGATTCCCTCATTCCTTATACCGGCGCCCTTTATGGCCTCTATGATTTTTTCTCTTGCCGTGTAGAACCTAAAGAACAACAACATTTTGAATTGTTTTTTCCCTATCCTAATTATGCTAAAAATTGTTCTGACAGTATGAGAAGACTGGTTTTTTAATTTATTTCTATTTTTTAAAAAAAATTTTGTAGGAGAATGATATATTCCTTGAAGTTGTTTTATCCACAGATGGGGTAGAACCTTTATATTTTATAACGGCAGATGATTTGACGTATCAAGCCCGTTGTCCAGCACCGACTAAACAAAGACAAATTACTCAAGAAAGGTTTTAAATGATACATATACATACTAGGGCAATAAAAGCACTGTGGCACTTATTAAGAGTTTTGCGGACAAAATTTTTGCGAACTTTTCTTGCGGACAAATATTTTTGCGGACTTTTCTTGCGGACAATTTTTTCACAAAAAATATATTTTACTGTTTATTTTCCATACTTTTCCCATAATTTATTCTGTTGAAATAATTTAAATATGTTGGCACTAAATTTTTTAATATCCGTCAAATTTGAAATCGGCCGGCGAATTTAAAATATGCCTGAAATTATAATTTTCCGCCGACTTGTATATATGGAAAATGCCCGTAAAACAAAGTGCCTAGTCCAAATAGCTTCAATTTTATCCTTTCGAAAATTTATTTTAAAGTTATTCAACAACAACACAACTTCTAACTAACCAAACAACAACCTCTCCTACCGAAAATTTAATTAAAAATAATTATATTAGAGGAAATTCAATTAATGCAATTTTGGAGGAATTGGCTAATTCCGCAACAGCTACAACAACAATAATTAATAGTGAAGAAGAAGAAAATAAAAAAGATAAAAAATTAGTAGAGGCTTCAAGTAGTGAAGAAGAAATTCAAAAAAATAATGAAGTTTCTTCGACAACTTCTGGAACTACAAAAATTAATTTAAAGGAAAATACTAAACAAAAAAATGAATTTACTAAAGATACATTTTCTTTACCTTTATATTCAATACTTCAAAATGAATTTTCTGAAACAACTACTAAAAGTGAATTTTTAGGATAATTTAAAATATGCCGGCATGTTTAAAATTTTTTGCCGGCATTTTAAAATTCGTGAGGCGGAAGAGAGTGAGACAAAATAAAATGGGGGAAGCGGAAGAGATTCTGTCCCTCGTAAGGGTGTTAATGTGGTTGCCACTGGCTAGAAACAAAAAATAAATTTTTTTCTGAGATATGGTCGGTCCTAAAAATGGGAATTTTCCATGCTCATTGAGTTAAAAAAATTTTTAGGCTAATTTTTCAGTGCCTAGGCATTCATATATTTTTTTGGCTGCATTTCTTAAAACAAAATTTAAATTAAGATTTTATTTTGAGTCAATTAATTAAAAAAATTTTTTTATCACCCATTTAAAAATAAAATTTATTTTCAAGTTAATAATGATACCTCATCAACTTTATTACAACAACCTTTCCAACCTACAACAACACCACAACAATTACCTTCAGAAATAGAAATTGAAACAACAATGATTACATTTCTCCCAAAAACTACCTCAACCTTAGAAAATAATAAAAATGGGTCTTCAGTAAAACGTAGAAGACCTCCCACAATTGGAATGGAAAGTTTTTTTGAGGAAGAGGAGAAATTAAATGAGACTTTTACAACAACATTTTTGCCTCTTCAAATAACAGAACAACAACCACACCAAATTACTTCAACACCTCAAAATAATAATAAAACAACAACTAAGCGTTCCATTAATTATGAAAATGTTAATAATTTGGAATCGCAAAATAGGGAATTTAGGTAGATTTCCAAAAAAATTTGCAATTTTTTTGTCCGCAAGTCGTAATATTTTTATTAAAAAATTCGAAGGAAGAGGGATATTTAGAGACATAGAGACACCTCTTCCACCTAGGGATGTCGAATACTAAAAAATTCTGACAGCAAAACTTTTTGATATCTGCCAGACTAAATACTCAATAGAAATTAAAAATATTCTTTTTTACATCGGAGGATGGGTAAAATCAAGAGAATAAAGGGCTCCTTGCCTAAAAAAACAAAAAATCAAGTCCAAGTCCCTGACACGCATGCTTTATAATTTTTACCAAAAACCCCTTTTTAATTGAATGTCTGATTTGCGGATAACTAAAAACTAGCGAGATTCTTGAACAATAATTTAATTTTTTTACAAGTTTTTCTACTCATTTGGCTTTCCCTCCCGACAAAATTTTTATAAGTACCAGAAATAATAATTATTTAAATAATAAAAATGATGAACAAATAGTAAACACAACAACAAATATTTTAATTAATTCAACAATAAATCCTCAATCTACTACAATTAAAATACCAACAACAATAAATAAGGAAGAAGCAAAGGAAGAGGTTTATGCAAAAATGGAAGTAATTAAAGAGAAGGGAGGAGAGATAAATAAAAATAAGGAGAAAGAAGAAGAAAAGAGAAGAAAAGAAAATAAATCAGAATTAAATAAATCAGAAGAAAATAAAAAATCAGAATTTAAAGAAGAAACAAAAACAGAAGCAACCCCAACTACAATTTCTGAAGCAAAAAAAGCAGAATTAAAAATATCAGAATTAAAATCAGAAAACAAAGCAGAAGCACCCCAGTCAAAGGAAGAAAATAATTTAACGACACCAATAACTGTATTAATTAAAGAATCGAGTAAAGAAACGTTACTTAATGAAACTACTTTGCCTCCACCTCCTTCTAGTACTTCTATTGCTTCTTCTACTTCCCCAAAATTACAAGTTTTGGAAAAATCGGAAGGAAATGGAGAAGGGGGAGGATTACCTCCGTATGTTTATTTTTTAATAATATGATAACAAGGAGAAATTTTCAACAAATTAGGAATCAAACCTGAGTGATGAGGTTAATGTTAGGAACTCTCTTCCCCGAAATTTTGTTAAAATGTTGAGATTAGTGTTGACTCAGAAATTTTCTTTTTTTTAATTTTCCAAAAAATCTTTATTTAATCTTTTGTTAGTTCTGGTGATGTTCACCCACCCTCAACATCCTTCGGCGGTAATAAACCGCCAGGTACTCAGGTTGGGAATATTGAGGAGAGAAGAGGATCACAAAGAGAAAAAGTTATTTTTGAAGTATTTCATAATGGACAACCTGTAAATTTTCTAAAAAAAATTTTCAAAATTTTTTAAAATTTATAGGCTGATGCTGTTGTTGTTGGGAGTAGAATAACTTTAGCTTTTACACCTTATTTTGCTATTCCACGTAAGAAAATTTTTTTAGATAAAGTCAGAACCTCCTTATAGGATAACTTCTCTGGAGCTGGAAATAATATTTTATCCTGTAATGAGGTGTTGCTTAAATAGAAGGTTAGCTGGAAATCCTCGGATAGTTGGAGGTCCTCGGATATCCGGATCCGTAAACCTTATCTGGCAATCCTCCCATCTAAGGGCCACACATAATACGTCTCTTAAATAGAGGTGTATCTAATATTGAAAGTATCTTATAACGAGGTTTTATTGGAGGTTTGACTAACATGAGTCCGACTATCTTTAAACTTAACATACATAAGTATTATAATTATTCTTTAAAGCTTCTCATATGTCAATTTCTGGTTGTCAAGTCGAGCCAATCGGATCCCTTTATGATTGGGAAAAGGAGCCTTTGGCTATTGTTAAAGTACTGAATTTAAATTGAATTTATTCAAAAAATAATTTTCTAAAGGATGGTTGTCAAGCTGATCATGTTGGGCTCGTTTGTCCTCCACAAAAGACAGACTACGGTATTCGGGTTACTGTAGAGGCCTTTCGTTATCAGGTGAATTCAGTGGATTATTAGGTTGTTGTCAAAGATTCTTTATGTTTTCAGACGACAACTCAAGTTCAATATACTTGTCTAATTAGAGTTTGTCCTTTTGCACCATGTCCACAAGTAATTCCAAATTAAAATACTCTTATTAATCCCCTCAATATAGACAACCTGCCCATCAGTAGAAGGTTGTCCAGGGGATGATATTGTTTCTAGAACACTCGGATCCTTTGGAGGCCGTAAACGTTCTAAACGTTTTAACGAAAATGGGAAGAAAGGGAAAAATATTTCTCGTCGAGATACAGTCCATTGGTTGGCTGGAAGTCAAAGGCAAAGAGACCAACCATTTAAAATGTCTAGTGGTAAGGACAGAAAAAATTTTTTTTGAAAAATCTAAAAATTTAAAAAGCTCTTCAACAACAACTAATTTTACTTGGTGGAGATTCTTTAGTTAGGAGAAGGTTAATTGTTGTCAATTCAGATGATGAATTGAGGTATTATACACGGACTGGGGAAATACCTTTAATTCGCTCTGGGTTTTATTAAAAGACAGATTTTTTTATTTTTAATTTATTTTTAATTTTTTGTATATACTTAGAGACTGGACTTTTGATGATCGAAAAGATATCTCGATAATCGAAATTTTAAACGAGGTTCTATCCTAATCTGGACAAATGTGTCAGTGGACATTCAGTCAGTGCACCAATTGAGAGAGATATCTTCTAATCCTCCAAATCCTTGCTACGCCCCTCAAATCCCCTGATATCCCTCTTAACCTTCCCGAATTCCTCGTTAACCCCCAAATTCTGCGATATCCGCTTTAATACACCAAAATCCTTACTTAATCACTCCTAATCTATATCTCTTCATTAGTCTGATTATTCACAGACGCATTGTCCGGAAGCCTCCCAGTCTGATCTCTTTTTTATTTTTAAAACAAGTAAAATATTTTTTAACTAAAATTTATACAATTTCTACTTTAAAATTAAAAAAAAAATTCAATTTAAAAACGTTAAATGGGGGAAAACTATGGTTGTTGGCTATCAGTTTTAAAACCCCAAAAAATTTTTTGAAAAATGAGTGATTTAAAAAATCCTGCGGAAGAAAACCGGAATTTATTAAAAATCGGTCTTTTAAAATTTGGTTTTAGCCGAAAACCCAAATGTATCGATGGTTAATAATTGAAAGCCAACAACCCCTCTAAGGGAAATAATAGAAAAAATTTAAAAAAATTTTTTTAGTTAAATAAAAATAAATATTTAAATAAAAATATAGGTTGTGCTTATGAAGTGTCACGCAAAAATGTTGTGGACATGTTTTTTAACTAATTTTTCAAAAAAAAATTTTTTTATCATGCCGGATTTTCGTTTTCCAAAACCCAAAACATAAACACAACCTTTACATAAATTATCTACTACTAAAATAAATTGAAAAATAAATTTAAAAAAAATTTTTAGAAAAATAAATTTTAAATAATTTACTAGAAAATAAATTTTTTTTGTAAATTTTTTAAATAATCATTCGATTGATAAAAATCATAAAAAAGTTTTTTTAACTAATATAGTTTTCTTCAGATATTTAGAAACGGTCAGGGTTGAAAATGGTCAGAGATATTTATAAGTACTAGAGTTCGAACTTTTCTCTTTGATGGTTTCCGGACTACCGGGCCCGGCCCAGGACTATTATCTTCCATTTCTATAACTAGAAAGTCCAAGTAATTTTTTTAAACAAAAATTAATTACTAATTGACCATTTTTTAACCCTAACCATTTTTAAATAAAAAATTTACTTAACTTACGGTTATGTTTTTCTTTTCTCTTAAAAATTCTCTCAATCCATTTTTGGCTCATCTTGCTTATTCTCATCATTCTCTTCAAGTGCTAAATTTAAATCAGGAATTAATTTTTCACGCTCATTCGAACCAGTTGAAGAGGCGTCTGTCGGTATTTCTGGATTTGGAACCTTTAAAAATTAAAAATTGGTCGATGGACTGTAGACTTAATTCAATAGGCTGTAGACTATACTTCTAAAGTGCATCCTAAATGGTTCATTAAGGTCCATTTAGTACCCGAAGGGTTATATGTATAAACGTCTACTGTAGATAGGAACGGGTTAAGTCGTAGAAATGAGGGATAGAGGTGTCGGTTCTTGGAAAACCAACAGAAAATCCTCGGTTCTCCAGCTCAGTTCTGAACTGACAATCATAATGAGATTAAAACAGGGTATACGGAAATCTGCTAAGACGTCGACTTTTAATGAACAAAAACGAATTGGGTGAAACTTATGGGGAGATAGAAGCTGGGTAGAAGGAGATTAGCGGGATTCTACGGATAGACAACGACAACAATATGAAGGATGATGTTCCTCTTTATGAAGAGTTTATTATAAAGAGAGTGTTCACTAAATCAAAAATTATTTGTATTTTTTACATTGGATGGAGGCAGAACTTGAGCCGGAATTTCCTGATTATTCGCCAATTCTGGGTTAGTAACAGACAATGCTGGGGACAATTCTTTTTCAGTATTTTCCTCCGTCAATTTATTTTGTTCTCGTAAAATTTTCTCTCTAATCTCTAAACTTCTATGTTTTTGAAATGGTTTGTTGGATGCTTTCTACAAATTTATTTTTTTTTAAAATAAATTTATTTTTTATTTAAATCCACCTTAGGTTTAGGAGGAAGCTTTTCAAGTTTTAAAGGAAAAGTTGTATGATAGTCATCCATTGTTGGCGCTTGAGGAGTTGCACGTAGATGGTAGCCTCCCACAATTCTTCCCTTTGCCTAAAAAAGGGAGTTAATTTTTATTTTAGAAAGAGTCTCTCTCTACAAACTTGTTGAGTTTCAGTTTGTTGCTCAGAGGTAGTCGACTTCTGTTTATAATTATTTTTAATTAAAGGTCTCATTATGAGATATTAATAGGCTATAATGCCGTTTAAGGATGGGTTTTGGTTACTGTAAGGAGGGGGAAAGGAGAGATGATATTTGGAGAGATAACCATTGTGAGATGTACAGCTACAAGAGGTTGTTTGACTGTATTTGGGTTTCTCCCTGATTTGTGGGGGAGGAGGAGGTAGCGAGAATTTTCAAAAAAAAAGTCAAATTCCTCAACTTTCGGAGAACACCCTCTACTTATTACTAACTTGTTCAGTTTCAGTTTGCTGCTCTGAAGTAGACGGCATCTATTTATACAAGTTAAAAATTAATTTTTAAAAATTAATTTATATTATAATTACCTCGATACGGCGAGGAATATAATTTTTACGCTTATCTTGACTAACAACTTTTTTTGGCACAGGAATATCTTAAATTTAAGAATAAGGTTCTTGGAGCTGACGTATTAAGGGAAGGGAGACGTTAAAGAAGAAACGTTGTAACAAGGGAGAGCACCGGATGGTTCAGCGAACGCTGAACGTATGACGATCCATCCCATAGGCCCTGGGTTAGAGAAAGGAAATTCCGCCAGAGAAGGCGATGATTAAGCTACCCCGCAGGTGAGAGAAAAAGCGGGAAGAGGGCAGATAAGAAGACTAGGGACAGTCTTCCCTGGGGATGGAGGTGTAAAGCATATAGCTATTAATTTCCTAAGGCTATGCAGTAGGCGGCGTGGTGTAATGGCTAACACATCAGTCCGGTCTACTGAAGATGCTGGTTCGCTCCCAGCCGCCGAATAACCTTTTGCATTAGCTAAAGGAGAGAAATAGCTATAGCCCAGCTGCTTTACTACAGGATTACCTCCTTGGACTTCTTTATAACGACACCTCAAGGCCGGCACACTTTTCCCCATAATTCATCAACATATCAAGGGAGATGTATTTGGAGGGGTGCCGTAATCTTCAATAGGATTACCTCTTTCTTTGTCACTAAATTCTTTGTCTTCTTTACTAATTGCCGATTTAACAAAATCTCTAATTTTAAATTCTTTATCAGAATTCCCCACAGTACTTTTTCCCATAATTTTCCCAATTTTTTTAGTTTTTGCTTTTTTAGCCTCTTCATTTTCATCAACAGAATTTTTAACATTTTCCAATTCATCTTCATCATCAGTTAAAGTTAAATCCACATATACAGGCTTTTTCCCCTTTTTATCGTCATCTTTCAAGATTTGCCCGACAGATCTGTGACTTCTCCTAGGTTTTTCTTTTCTTTTATTATCGCCAGAATTTCCGGAGGAAGAACTGTCAGAAGTATTTCCGTCCTTGGAAGCTTTTGAGTTTGAACTTGGCGAGGTTGAACTTGAATTTCCCCCATCACTGCTATTCCCACTTGTCGATCGCCCAGAAGATTTATCAGAAGATTTGTCACTTTCTGATTTGTCAGAATTACTTGTTTTGGAAGCAGTTTCATTACTACCACCATCTTTTCCACTTGGAGAACTTCCTTTTTCATCATCAGAAGGGGTATCTTTAAAGTTTATTTCAATTACTTTCAGACTTGATTATAACACCCAAATTAGATATCCCTATGAGACACCTTTTAAAATTGTCTGGCTGCTGGATGGAAGGGAGAGTTTGTTTAAGCCTTACCCCCAATTTAACACACAGCTCATTATAAGGTACCGATCTTTCAGCTTAGAGGTTGTATCTTTTATCTGTCCTCCCATTGAATTTTCACTACCTGATTCACTTTCTTTTTGATTATTTTCATCCTCACTTGAAGATATACTAACTACAGCATCATCATTTTCTTTTGCTTTGTCTTTTTTTCTATCTTGATTTTTATTACTTTTAGATTGTGTAGATGTTTTTGAAGGCATATCATCACCTAGTGTTATAGTTTCACGCGAGGTTCTTTTATCTTTAATATTTATTTTATTAAAGCTTCGATTTTTATTAAAATTTCCGCAAATATAGTCCGCAAAAAAAGTCCGCAAAAAAAGTCCGCAAAAAAAGTCAGCAAAAAATGTCCGCAAATAATGTCAGCAAAAAATGTCCGCAAATAATGTCCGCATAAACCCTTGCTATATGTGTTAGTTACGAATTTAAAAATAAATGAAATACGTTTTCGGCTGCCAGAACCTTCAAAATTAGTAGCACTATGATCCGCCACTACTATATTTATATTTTATTATTTTTAAAATTTAATAATTATTTTTACCAGGCGGGGGCGGCATAAATGGTTGATGAGGATGAGGAACTTTAAAAAAAAAATTTTTTTTGTTTTAAAATTAAAATTTTTTTACATTGTGGGTACATTAAATGTGGTGCGTACGAAGTGTACGGATTATCTAAAAATCAAAAAATTATTTCTTATTTCTTTTTAATTTACAGTAAGGTGGGTAAGCTGGTTGAGAAGGATCTTGTTGAGGTGCATTTGGTAGAGCAGCTTTAAATTTAAAAAAATATTTGATTTTTTACTGAAGATGCAATTTTTTGGTAAGAAAATGATGAAGATTGTCCACCAATATCTTCTTAACCTCTAAATCAGGGATATATATGGGGATTTGGGAGGGGAGGGGGGAGGGGAGGGGTATCAGCGAATTTGGAAGAACTAATCTCAAAATTAGTTCATATGCTCGACAGACTTTTTACCGTCAACTGTTTTTACCGATACCCCTTCACCGATTTACCTTGTGTGTCGGGGAATATCAAACAGAAAACTTGTTTAAATAATTCTCACCTTGTTGCTGGGGAGGCACTAAACTTGGCTGGTGGGGATGCATTAAACCTGGTTGAGGATGCATGTAACTTTGCTGGTGGGGAGGCAAGAAAGGATTAAAATACATTGCTAAAATTCAGATTAAAATACATTTTTTAATTAATAATTTTTACATTGCGAAGGGTGATGCATGAAATACGGTTGTGGATATGCTTTAAAAAAATTTTTTTATTTTTTTAATATAAAGTAGAACCCTACTACATATAAGACATCCCCAACTTTTAATTTTAATTGTCTACTGATGTGAATGGGGGGAAGTGCCTATTAGTAATGTTCTAGACTCTCGGTCTCGGTTCCCAAGCCGGAAAATTCCCTAGTTTTTAACTCTCAGTCTCGGGGTCGATTCCCGGTCTCGGTCTCGCCTCTCAGTTTTTTCAACTCCCGAACATCACTAGAGCCTAGGCAATACCCTCAATTTAAGATCCTTTCATTATAAGGCATTATTTTTCAAAAAGTGGGTGTCTTTTAGGGTGTTAGGACAATTCCGGATACGACAATTCCGGAACGATACTTGCGGACGACGATTGCGGATAAAAAAATAATTTTGATTTTATATCCGCTGTTGTCGTTCTGCCGTCTTATAGTGAAGGGTTCTTAACCATAAATTTAAATTTACGAGGAGGATTATTTTGTGTTTGCAAAGGATTTGGTGGATTTGTTGTCCCAGTTTTTTGTTTTTTACTCTTTCTATCACCGCTAGAAGTCTTTCTTTTATCACTATTTGAAGACTCTCCTCCTTTTTTACTACTACTCCCTCCTCCTCCTCCACTATTTTTCCTCTTCTTATCTTTTGAGGATTCTTTCTTTTCTTTTTTTACTTCACCAGGTTCTACTTTTATTTTAATTTGTGGATTTTCTTTATTTTTCTTTTTAGAATCTTTGGAAGAAGGTTCTCCTACCCCCTTCTCTTTTTTAACTTTTATCAAATCTTCCTTCGATGTTTTGTCCTTTGAAGATTTTGATTTTTGTTGATCTTTAGTTTTCTTCTTTTCTTCCTCTTTTCTCTTTTCTTCCTCTTTCTTCTTTTCCGCTTTCTTCTTTTCCGCTTTCTTCTTTTCCGCTTCCTTCCGTTCCTTTTCTTTCCTCTCCTTTTCTTCTTTCTCCTTCCTTTCCTTTTGCTTTCTTATCTCCTTTTCTTTCTTCTTTTCCTCTTCTTTTTTCTTCTGATCATCTAAAAAATATTTTTCAATGGAAGAAAATATTTAAAATTATTTTTTTGATAAAATTATAACCTCCCCCCTTGAAGAATTTTTAGAGCGACATTTGCGTACCGACAAATGCGGACATCCACCTTATACCTACATATATCCTTTATTTCAGTACTAGTAGATGAGTACTATACTACCACAATATTACTGTATATACAGACAAAAGTACCCATTGGAAAGTTGCTCCAAATATAATAGGGCCAAGCTTTATTCGCAAGTGTCCTTTTTCGCAAATGTCGCCAGGCCATAAAATTATAATTTTATCAATTTACCTCTTGAAGATTTTTTTCTTTTTTCTTTACTAGTTTCTCCTTCAGTATTTTTTCTTTTAGAAGAATTTTCCCGTTTTTTCTTTTCCTTTGGTTTATCTTTTTCTGTTCTATTTGGGCTTTCCTTCTACATATTTTAAAAATATTTTTTAACTATTATTTTGTTAATTATGCCCAGTTACCAACAGACGGCTTCCCCTCCCCAGACTTACTAGTTCCAAAATTGCCCCAAATTCGAGAAATTTTGAAGGAATCCAAAGTAAAATTTAGCAAATTCATTGGTCTCTTGTTCTACATTAAAGACAGTTAATCCCTCAAATATATCACTCCTCGGAACTGAAATGAGCGTATATAGGAGAGAGTGTATCAGAGAGGTTTGACTGTATATTTTTTAAATTTTTCTATTAAATTTTTATAACCACCTCTTGTTTTATCTCAATTTGAGTTTCATTTTGTTCCTTTTCTTTATCATTATTTTGTTCATTTTCCTTTTCTTTATCATTATTTTGTTCATTCCCTCCCCTTAAAATTTCCTCCAATGTTTTCTCGGCCAAATTTGGATCGATTCCTTGTATAGTTTTATTTGCTGTTTCCAGAAAATCTTTGTCTTTTGCAGTTGTTTGTGGTTCTGTCACTATAACGGTTGTTGTTGTTGTTCTCTTCTTTTTCGGCAAATTTGCAGGCCAAACTGGATCTCGACTGGTTTCTGCTCCACTTGAATTTGCTTTATCCTTATCTTGAGCATTTTGTTGTCCACCTTTAATTATTGAAGTAGTTATAGTCAAATCGCATTATAAGTTACCCTTTTAGGATTAAAGGAAATTTTATCTTATGTATAATGAGGGGTATCTCAAATAAGGGGTATTGCTTAGGCATCTCCCCTATTTAATAGACATATTTTAAATTGAGGAGTATCTAGTATTGAGCGTGTTCTATAGTGAAGTCAATCATGTATTCACCCCAAAATTGGCGCTAGGACAGTCCACCATAAGAATTTTTATTAATTAATTTTCACCACATTCACTATACGGACAATTCATCATAAGTGAATACGGTGAATGGTCAGTATTGTGAATTGTCCTAAATTTACTTGAAGAGGATGTTTGTGGTTGTCCAGATGCCTGAAAGGTAAATTGTTCAGGAGGTGTTGGTTCCTTTTCTAATTGAGATATTACTGAAGCATCAGTCTCTTTATTAGAAGTCTCCGTTCTAAAAGCAAAAGAAGGATGGTTGTTTAATCTTGGGCCTGGAGACTGTGGTGTTAATTGTTCGTTTTCAGGTGTTGGTGAAGGAAATCTTGGAGATTGATGTCTTGGAGATTGAGGTCTTGGAGATGAAGGTGCTGCTTCATTCAAGTCGAATTGATCGTTATCTTTTTTAAATTAATTATTTTTTTTGTGTTCTAACAATAGAAGAATATTCCTCTAAACTTTTTTGGGTGTCCGACATTTGCACGAAACTAGAATCTATTGAACTTATGAAAACTTACTCTTAAGATTAATTTTTTTCCTCCCTTTCATAATTCATTCAAAAACCGAAACTTTAATAGAAAGCAGTGGGTGTCGCCCTGTTTTAATAATTCACCAATATGTTTTTTCACTCCCTTCAAGAATCCTTGAGGGATTTTGAGAGATTCCTCATATTTTATATCTGCTAAAAATTCCTTTCCCGTTCAAAAAAATATTTAACTCCCTTCTTACTTACCATTCTCATTTAAAAACGGAACATTAATTGGTCTGCTTGTACCTTCTTTAATTAAAATTAATTTTTTAAAATTTTTCAAACAAAATTACCTGCTCCATGAGTTTGTCTTTTCGAGGCTTCTATAGCTTTCTTCATTTGTCTTTCCTCCAAGGCTGAGGCTTCCTCTTCAGCAGAATATAATTCATCTACTATTTTTACCCCTTTTCCTTTCCTTTTTTTAGCATTCTCTTCTTCATCTTCTTCTTCATCCTCGTTATCTTCTTCATCATCATCATCATATGAGTATTTTTTTGTCTCTGGAATATTTACTAATAGATAGCTGTCAGATTTAATTATAAAATGCCATGGGAAATGAGAGGTATTTGAGGTATAATGAGGGATACCTTAACGAGAGGGTAGTACTTGGACATGTCCCCCCACTCAATCCTGGGACTAATTACCCATAGGCCACCTTTTCAAAAACCCTAAAGAAAAGGCCTTTTTAATTTGGCCGGCTAAATTCAATTTAGCCGGCCAATTTGAATTTGGACTGAAAAAATCTTAACGTTTTCTTGTCCGAGTGCTTCTCCGAGTATTTTCTTTTTCCTTGTCCTCCTCTTCCTTGTCCTCATCCTCATCTTCCTCTCCTTCAAATTCCTCTTCTTCATCTTCATCATCCTCCTCATCTTCAAATTCTACTTCTTCGTCAGATTCTTCTTTTTTTGCAGGTCTTCTTCCTCTCTTTTTTGGAGGCTGTTTTGTTTTTGCTATTTTTGTTTTTGTCTTCTTTTCCATTTTTACTTTTTTAGCTTTTTTACCTGGTTTTTCTCCAGGTTTTTTAGCTGGTTTATTCTTTTCATATTCTTCTGCCAAAGCTATTTTTTTACTTCGATCATCTTAATTTTTAAAGAAAATTTTTTTGTCTTTAATTCCAAAAATTTAATTGGAGGTAATGCTTACAAGAGATCCTGACATCCCTATTCCAGTAATCGGCGATGGGATCACTGCCGGTGGGACAGTTCACGATATAGACAATTCACCAAAAAGTGGATTGTCCATACTGTGAATTGTCCTCTAATATTGGGGGTATCCACTATATAGAGGTTTAACTTGTTTAACCTTTATATAATATATCACAAATTTTAAATTGTAATTCCAAAATTGACTGGTTTAATGCATCCTTTTTAACATCGTAGTCTTCTTTACTTAATTTTCCCTTATTTTTTTCAAGTTCCTTTTTTTCCAAATTAACATCTCTAGCTTCCAAATAAATTCTTTGAAAATAACTTTCATCCAAATTTCTCAAAATTAATTCCCTTCTTTTAATTACTTGTTCAATTTCTTTCTCAGTTTCCGCAATTTCAAATTTTATATTATTTTTGTTTTCTTCGCTCGGATCTTTGTCTATTGACTCTGTCGGTTTTATTTTGCTTGTTTCTATTTGTTTCAATTCCGTTAATAATATATTCACAAAAGTCCCATTTTCTGTTTCTTTTATGTCCGTGGAATTACGAGATATTTCCTTTAGAAATTTTGAAAATTAAAAAATTTTTTCTAAAAGGACGTGGGGAGAGAAGGCTTGTCGACTTGTTTCCGAGTCCTTTCAAAGAAAGGAAAGGAACGAGCTTTTTGGCCGCACAAATCATTCGTGCTTTTACCGGGCTTGGTCAGCTTTTTACCTGTTGAGGAAGGTCACCTCCTATTATATGTTCGCTTCCTTTTAACTGTTCTATAACCAACGGATTTTTCGGCAATTTTAAATGCAAACTCATTTTCAAGTCTTCCAATACTTGAGAAAATTTCTTTTGGACTTTCCCTTCTTCATCCCCCTCTTCTTTAATTTTAAATTCACAAATGTCCGCATTATCTGTTTAAAAAATTTTATTTTTTAAATGTTTTTTTAATTTTTTTTATTGCTACATGTGATTCCTGTTGTTTTTTATACTGAGTGAGGGATCTCGCTTATACTGAGTGAGGGATCTCGCTTATACTGAGTGAGGGATCTCGCTTATACTGAGTGAGGGATCTCGCTTATACTGAGTGAGGGATCTCGCTTATACTGAGTGAAGGATCTCGCTTATACTGAGAGAGGGATCTCGCTTATGCTCTCTCTCTCCTTACATAATAAAAGAATTACACGCGATTTTCTCTCCTCTTTTGAATGTCGTAAGACGCAAAGCGATTCTTATGTAAGAAGAGCCCTAGGCAGTCCTCCCCCTCATTAGCTAACCAAAAATTAAAAAACACTTTTGTGTTTTCCCTCCTTCCAAACTTAAGAGTCCATTATGAGACCATAACTCGGATTGCAATTGTGTCCCAAGCTTAATTTTGTTGTCAATCGACTCCGCTCGAAGAGCTCTTTCAAATGACATATTAAATGTCCGAATCGGAGTATACACGGGATTTTGCCCGTCTTTAAAAAACCCTCAATACCTATTAAACCTAATATTGGGAGTGTCTTATAAAGAGGTTTAACAATTTACTTTGTTTTTTGTATTCCCCTTCAATTTCTTTTTCTGTTTCAATTTCTCGAAGAATACATTCAAACGGTTTTTCATTTTTAACTCCACCGTTTATATAGCTATAAGGGGATTCTTCCTTCCAATCATCCTCAATCTTTACTTCATATACTTTTGAATAACAAAAATTTAAAAGAAGAAAAATGCCGAGAATTAATAAATAATTACTCGGCATTTTTTTTGTTCAAGGATGGATATATTCTTTTTTTGTTTAAAAAATTTTTTTATCTAAAAATTAATTTTTATTTAATTGTATTTTTGATTTTTTAAAATTATGCTGGCAAAATGTCGTCGACCTTTTTTGTCCGCAAGACAAAAATTATTTCCACGCTGTCCAACACCTTTTTATAAGCAACTTTCTGTATAAGCAGCTCTCTTTATAAAATAAGTAGATACCCCTCAATATTGGATACCCCTCCATTTTATAGACGTTTGTTAATCTGTTGATTGTGTGGTGGGAGGAGGGGAGCTGTCTGAGTAATACCTCCCATTTAAGAAACCCTCACTATAAGATACTTTTCAACCTCGAGGTTGAAAAAATCTTATATAGAGAGGTTTGACTGTATATTTTTTTAAAAACATTTTTAAGAGAGAAAAAATATTTACTTTGACTTGCGGATAAATATTAGCGGACTTTTGGGATTTTAATTTAAAAAATAAAAAAATGAATGAGTGATTGAGAGGATTTAATCAGGGGATTTTAAATAAACAAGAGCTCCTCCCTTTCTTAAAAAAATTTCTTCCCTCCCCTTTTTTTATATTTCAAAATTTTAAATTCTCCCCTCCCGTCGGGTTTGGGGTCGTTTTGGCGCGAGGCTAAAAACTGACGCTTATACAAAACCCAAATTTATGAAAATTTTCTCAAATTTCTTTAACATCCTTGACTACCTCCTCCAGAAATTTCAGAATTTTTCATCAAATATTTTTAAAGTTATAGTCGATAAACCTCGAAAAATTGGGCATTTTTCTGAGAATCGACACCATTTTTGGCCATAATTTCTGAAATTCTGGCTTAAAAATTCTGAAATTTTTGGAGAACATAGATGAACATATTAGGGTTGTTATTATAAAATTTTATCCCTCTAGACCGTCCACGCCTAAACATCCCATTCCCTCCACCTCCATTGATTAATCCACGTGAATTTTTTTGACTTGCTTTTCCTCTCTACCTATTTTATGCCCTTTTTAATAAAAAAATATTTTTTTTTAATTTTTGCCTTCTTGCTTTTCCCCTCCCTTGTATTCACGTGAAATTGATTTAAAAGATTTTTTTCAATTTTCCTTTCATCTTTTAAAATTTGCCCTTTTTGTTTATTAAAAAAATATATTTTTATAGACTTGCCCTTTTAATTTTCCTTTAATTTTTGCCGAATTGTGTTTTTATTTTTAATTTCAAAATAAAATTTTTCTTTGAAGTGAAAGGGCATTTTATTTATTTTTATTAAAAAAGGGCATTTTATTATGAAAGAAAATATTTTTTTTATTTTAATTATTAATAATGATTGGATTTTTGGGTTCTTGTTGACTTTTTTATAGGGACCACTGAAGTAGAAGATTACCCAATTCTTTAATGGGTTGTATATAGAGATCGGTCCGTACGGGACTTTTACGGGATCCCGTCTCCCGGGGTCTGAGCGACAAACGGGATTACCGGGATTTACGGGATTAATCCCGCGGGATCCCTCCCCTTCAACATTTCTAAACTCAATCCAGTTCCGGGATCCCGGCCTCTGGTTGTATATAAAAAATGTCAAAATGGGGGGACAATAAGTCTCTGCAGACATAAGATTTTCAAAAAAATTGGGCTAATCATAACCATTTTAGAGAACAAAGGTTAATAAACTAAAAACCCGATCTCTTTAATTTAATTTAAAATGTCTTCAATTTCAATATTAACCGAAGAAGAAAAAAAATTATTAATTGAACAAGCTTTAAATGCTCAACTTAATTCAGTTAAAAAATATTTAATTTAAAAAATAATTATTTTCTTTTTAGTATTGCCCTTATAGTAATTTTGCTGTGGGTGCTGCTATACTTAATTCTGATGGGGAAATTTTTAAAGGAGGTAATTGACTAAACTACAATAAAAAAAATAATTTTGTAAAGTTAATGTTGAAAATGCTTCTTATGGGGGCACAATATGTGCAGAACGAAGTGCAATATGCTCTGCCATTAGTGCCATTGGGTCTAAGAAATTTTGTCCAAAAGGCCTTTGTGTTACAAGTAAAAATTTTTAAAAAACTATTTCAAATTTAAATGACTACACCAAATAACACAATATTTTAAAGCGAATCTACCATACCCAGCTGCTCCGTGTGGCATTTGTCGTCAAGTTTTGGGTGAATTTGGGGATTATCCAGTTATTTTTTAAATTAAATTTTTTAAAATATTTTTATTTATTTTAGATTTTGCTTTATTCGACAAAAACTAAGGATTTAAATATTACAAGTATTAGTGAACTTCTTCCTATGGGGTTTTCAAAGAAGGATATTGACAAGCATGAACAAATGAATAAAGAATGATTTTTTAAATTTTTTAAATTATTAAGGGCATGCGGGCATATCAGGAAGGGGTTCGGAACTTACGGCCCTTTGATCTTGGAACTTACGGCTTTGTCCACGGGGGCATTTTATAATAACGTTTTTTGTCTCTAAATTTTTTTACTTTCTTTCCCATTCAAAAATCTTTCTTTTCTTAAAATAAAACACACACAAATATGTTCAAACACCCTCAAACTATGCTCTACAATTGGTCGTGTGTCGTCATTGGGTCAACAGAAACCAAAACGCCGATCGTCGTTTATAGTGTTTGTGAAGGGGAATACCACCCCCACACTAAATAAATAATTAGTTAACAATCGCGCATATTCGCTGTATTTTTCTTTTTTTTCTTTTAGTCTGCGGACAAAAAATATGCGGACAGTTTTTTTGGTAAATAAAAGTACACGAACAGAAAAAAAGAAATTGAAAAGAGGCTCCTCCATTTTATTTTTAATTTTGTCCGCAATAAAAAATCCGCAAAAAATTTATCCGCAATTTTTTATTTATTCTCCCCTTCTCGCAACAAAGATTAATGTTTAAAGAAAAACACGGGGGTAATTCCACACCTTTTTTTCTCATGTTAAAACTCCGCCTTTTTTTCTCACATAATTATTTTTATAAAAGGAGCCAAGCAATTTTTATTTAAAAATTAAAGTTCCTTCATAAATCTTCCCCTTCTACAAAAAAAAGTCTAAAATGATTAGCATTATTCACCCACCCACAGAAATTCCAGAATTTGTTTCAGTAAACGGAAGACGAAATTTTAGACTGTCAGCAATATCTAATACCGTAACAATTGATAATAATGGAGTAACGACGGCAAAAAATAATTTAAAAAATAAATATTCAAAGACTTTTAAAACTACAAAATAAAGCTAAGGAAGAGAAGCTTTCTACCAGCCATAACTAAAAAACTTAACATTTTCTCAACAAACAACATTTAAAGGAAAAATGTTTGTTAATATGCTTAGAAGCTGTTGAAACATTTAAAAAAAGGATGTTGGCAATGGCCTCCAAAAATGAGAAAAATGGATTGAATTTGATTAAAGTTTATTGTTAAAGAAAAAAATTTTAAAATGGAAAAATTCTTTTATATTCATTTTTTAAATTATATATAAAATTTATTTTTTAAATATCTTTATTTTAATTTAAAGAAACAGAATTTATTGAAGAGATAGGGGGTTAAGGGGAAAGGAGTTCTTTTTTCCCCCTCATGTTTAGGTTTGTCATTTATTGGAGAATCCTAGGATATTCAGAACCGAACATAAGACCAAAACAGTTTCCGACAATCTTTCTAAAAAAATTCACAAGACTTTTGGGAATATAAAAAAATAAGAAAATGGCAGTTATTTTAGATTATTTTAAATAAAAAATAATATTTACCTAGAATGTATTATTTTAAATCAAAATTGTTGAAAAATCTTTGTAAAAATGGCAATTTATTTTTCGTACAATTCTTCCCACCATTTTCACAAATTAACTTTAATAATTCATCGGCAAGTGCTCGCTTTTGTGACATTGGCGAAAGAGGTGGAAAATTACGAAGATTTCGACGATGCCTGATTAGAATAGAAATAATGTGCTCTTAATTACAGACCCTCATTAAAGCCCCCTTGGAGTTGGAAAAAACCTTAACTTATAATGAGGTATCTCTTAAATAGAGAGTACGTTATAATGAGATGTCTCTTAAAAAGAGGGTACCTTATAATGAGGTCTCTTAAATAGAGAGTACCTTATAATGAGATGTCTCTTAAATAGAGAGTACTGTCTCTTAAAAAGAGGGTACTTTATAATGAGATGTCTCTTAAATAGAAGGTATCGCCTCCAATAGGTCACCCAACGCGTAAGAGGTGTCTTATTAGAGAGGTCCAATATCAAATTGTTTTTAAAGATTAAACTACCTTTGTTCTCCATCCTCTCCAACATCAGACAAATCACCATCATCACCAACAATTCCATCAAGATTTAATAAATGGAAATTTTGAGGTACTGGAGAAGGATGCTAAAGAATATTGAAAAAAATTTTAAAAATTCACAAAAATTTTTCCGTACCCAAAAATGAGAAGGTGAAGAATCTCTTGGAGTATTACCACCACCATTATTATATTTTAAAGCTTTTGAACGTCTTCTAATACATAAAAGTACACGTAAATGTGAATGTAATGAATTGGGTAAATGAGAAAAATAAATTGAATCAGCAAAAGTTTGTAAATCCAAAAAAGGTTGTTGATGATTGATGTTGTTGTGAGATGATAAAATACAATTTTGATGAGATGATTTTGAAGTAGAACAAGTTAAATGAAGATTCTATATTTGAAGAAAAAATTTTTTTATTTTTGCGGACAAAACAAATGAAACAAGTATTGGGATATTTGTTTTTCCCAATTGATTAAAAACTCTTTTTATCTCTTTTATAGAATTATTAGTTGGTACATCCAAAATTAGTTGGTATACCCTCAGACATCTATTCTCATAATTCGCAAAAACAAATCTAATCCAAAATTAACGAGGGAAAGTAAATTTTTTTCAAAAAAATTCAATTTTTGTCTAAACTTAGGGTTGTCAGTTCTTGGAAAATCTTCGGATAACCGGAACCAAAAAATCATTAGTCAATCATACTAAAGCTTACAAAATTTTTTGGCGCAGACGAGAATTCGAAGCAGACTTTTTTAATAATCTCCCCCCCCCCCCACCCCCTCCCCAAAAAAATTATTCCTAGACAACAGATTGAACACACCCCCATATTAATTTAAAAAAACTTCAAACCGATTTATTATTATTATCAACTTTAGTAGTTGTTGTTTGTGCAATCCAACGTTCAACAATTAAAGAAGCCAAAGCATTTAAAGCTAATTGTCGAAGTGAAGGAGGTGAGATACGATAAACAAGAAGAGTATGAACAAAAGGAGATTCTCTTGAAGGGGCCTAGAAAAAATTTTTAAAAAATTCAAAAAACAAAAGAAAACCTCATTCATTCCACCATAAATAAGTATAGCTTCTTCCCCCATTAATACAGAACAATGCCAAAGTCTTGAAGGAAGTCGATGTTCTAATGGAGGAATTTGTCTCCAAAAATGTTTTTTCTCGTCTGTATTTTGTTGATTTATATAAGATTTTAATTGTTTTTGTTGTTGAATTTTTTGATTATATAATTCATTTATATCCAATTCCCAAAGATCGCAAAGTGATTGACCTCGAGAACAAAGGCCTCCATAACATAAAATCTGTTTAAAAAAAGTTGTTTCTAAAACTCTAATAAGGAGTGTAGAGGACAGTGATGGGTCGAGTTTCTCGAAATCGGGACTTTTTTCGATTCGAAATTTAATCAGAAAGATTTTGTAAATTCCGATATGGAAAGAATTTTGGAAATCAGACCCGAACCTGGCCAGACTTTACTTTCGTTGTGGAGTTGATTTTATGCCCCCCTCTCCTAAAATGACCTCCTTTAAGAAAAAATAATTTTTTTTCTAACCTTTCTTTGCCTGTTAAGTAAAGTCATTGAACACCACGATCGACCTATAGGTAACCAATCGGAAAGTCCATCAACAAATGCATCTCTAAAGAAGGAAATGAATTTAAAATTTTTTTAAATGTTTACAATTGTGTCCAAACAAAACTTCCCAAATCGAGACAATACAAATCGTTTAAACGAGATTGATTATGCCGCCCTCCAAAAATGAAAACCTACAAAAAATATTTTTAACAATTGAGAGAATCAAAATAAAAACCTGATTTATTTCTTCAGCATGTGCACAAGCAGCAGCAGCCCTAGCTGAAGGACGTGTTCCACCTTGCTCTTTTTCAACCCAGCATTCTTTGATTAAATCATAATAAATTAATTGATTGTTCCTTTAATTTAAAAAAAATTTTTTTAGAAAATTAAAAGAGGTTTTAGAATACCAACAAGTCCCCATATCATCATCACAAAAATATTGAGGTTGGAAAAAATATTGTTGATTGCTGCCATGTCCAAGACGATACCAACTCATTCCATAGCCACCAAAAATGAAAAATCTAAAAAAGAAATGAGTTAAAGACTGAGAAATTCTGACTTTTCTAAATTATTTTCAAGACTTGCTCTTTATTAATTTTCTTTGGGGAAATAAAATTAATCGAAAAAATGGAAGGAAAAAGCCAGCAAAAGCAAAAACTTCGCAAAATTGTCTTTACTAGTGCTGTCGGTTTCAAACAAAATTCTTCGGTTAACCGAAACCAAACGCAAAACACAACCCCGAAATTAACAGAAACCGAAAATCTTCGGTTTTTCGGTTCGACTTGAAGCCAACAACCCTAGTCTTTACTAATGATTTTATGTAAAAACAAACTTGTCATCAACAATCCACGAAGATGTTTTGTCTCTCGGTGTTGGCATTTTTCCATTTTGAGGTATACTTTTTGGTGATAAAACGCCTGTTCGAAGATCAATTGCTTTAAAAATTAATTTTAAAAAAAGAATTTACAAAAAATCAAAACCTAGCAATGTTGATGTATTCGTTAAACGTCGATGAATTTCATCAAAAAGACATCCTCCAAATATATACAAAATATCTTTATGAACACCAGCCGTTGCTCCAGAATTTGGACGTAATTGTAAATTTGTTTCACATTGAATTTTGATCCTTTAAATAAAAAAAAATTTGAATTATTCCCTTTTATGCTCTTAAAAGTCTGAAAGCAGGTTTTATCTGCTGGTTATACATTTTAAGCATATTTTAGTAGACAGAAAACTAGAAAATAAATGGTTGTTCACGACGAGTACCAAACCAGAAAACAGAGAAACCAAAAATAGGAAAGGAAAATCAGGGGAAAAGACCCCAGACATAACCGAAAGCCGTGGGTTCCTGTGAATTTAAAACAAGAAGGACATGTGAACAAACATCTATAAAAGGTTCAAAAGACGTATAAAAGTCCACAACCCTTTCCTAAACAAAACGAGTTTAGAAAAATACTAGTTTTCAAAAAATTAAAAATATCCAAACCAAATATTATTTTTCTCTCCACAGAGTATATAAGGAAGAATATATAGCCAATTAGTTTCCTGTATTTTAAAAAATTTTAAAACAAAAAATAAAAAAAAACCCTATAATTAATTTCTCTTTCATCAAAGCAGTAACCACCCCAACAAATTAAACATCCTCTATAAGAAACACAAATATGTCCAGCAACGGCAGTTAATGAATCTGTTGTTTCCACCTTTTTTTTTAATTTTTCAAGAATTATTTTTAAATTAAAAAAATAAACCTCCAAGTTTAAAGGAACAGTTGATGATGAATTTGAAAGTAATGAACGAATATTATTCATTTAAAAAAAATTCCAAAGAATTTGAAAAAGAAATTCGAATAAAAAATTTAAAAAAAATATTTAAAATAAATAAAATAATTATTAAAATTAATTTTAAAAAATTCAAATTAAAAAATCAAATATTTATAAATATTCTATAATTCTAAAATAAATATGAATAAATAAATCCTATCATTTCATTAAATTTTAAAAACAAAAAAATATTAAATGGCAATTGTAAGGCACGATTTAAATAATTTTTAAATAAAGGTAGATTTCTTTTAATAAAAAATTTTCTGAATTCATATGCATAAATAGGGTTAACGGTTCCTGTGAATCAGTGAAATCTTAGGATAATGTAACCGATAACCGAACTGAAACTATTCAGAAACCCAATTTTTTAGTCTAGGATACACGGAATCGTCAGCCCGATGCACAACAAAAAGGGGCATAATTGAAGGAAAATTTTTCCTATTTTTAGAAAAGTTAGTCAGAAATTTCGTGTTCACAAACAATAACGATTTATCAAGTTCCATACCAGATACCAAAAATAAAGCCAGATAGTTTTATTAAAAGAAATCGTTAAATAATTAAACCTTTTAAAAGTTATATCCTTTGTCCAAATAATATATTTATTTAAAATCAACAAAACTAATTGAAGAAGATAAAGGCTTTGAATTATGTTGAAGTTTTGATCTTTTAGACTTTGGTGGAGAGCTGTTATTATTGTTAGATTTTGTACTGTCCAAAATAGCGTTGTCAGCAGCAAATGAACGTTCAACTTTCTTAAAAAAAATTTTTTTTAATTAAAATTTAGAGGTTTTTATGCTCCTAAAAAGTCCACAAGTTTTGTCCTAAAACATTACTTGCGGACATAACCCTGTAGACTTTTTGAGAGCATAACAGAAAATTAATAAAAATCTTCAAAAAAACCCCTCCCCTTACATTTAAAAGTTTGGTAACCAAAGTGCATGGACCATCTCGTTGTGTCAGGGCATTTTGTGGCAATACTTCACCTCCACTAGTAGATGCTTGATTGACTATATCTTGTTTACCTTTAGCATAACGCTCATGTAAATGTTCTGCTTCCTTTAGAAAAAAATTTTTTCTTAATTTTAAAAGAAAAAAAACCTTAAAAAAAGGACTGTCAATTAATGCTCGAAGATGAGGAAAATTATCCATATTCATAAGCTTTCGCTGTTCAAATTCAAAATTGTCCGGATCAAAACGCAAACGAAAATGTCTGTGTAACAAAGGATTGAACTGTTAAAAAGAATTTTTTAATTAAAAAAAATTTTTTCTTAAAAAACATCACCCTTGGGATTTAAATTTTATAACGAATTATGCTTTAAATTGGAGGTATCGTTAAAACAGTCAAATTCAAAAAACGTACTTAAATTAAATTTTTTGAGTGAAAACATAGAGAGAAACTCTTGATAATTACCCTTTGAACTGAAAAACAAAACTCGTATCTTATAAAAAGGTGCCCTTTAAATTGAAGTTTCCCTAAAGAAATTTTTTACCCAGAGGTCAGTTAGTGCCAGACAAAATTTAAAAACATATCTTAAGTTGAGGTGTCTAGTTTTTAAAATGTATCTTAAAGGCCCCAATGCATAAAAATTCTTCTTACCGTTCCATCACACGGATAAATAGCAAAAGCATTTAAATTTGATAAACGAAATAAACAAAAAAGAGCATCAAATTGTTCATCAGGTAACAAAACAGTTTCCATATATTCGTTCAAATCATCCATCTGGGGAACAGTTACGTGGATTGGAACAACAAATTGTGAGGGTTGGACAAAATAAAGACTAAAAAGAAAAAAATATTTTTAAGGAGCAGAATTCTCCAAAACAGACCTGTAAGCAATAAAAATTCCAAAAATTCGTTCAGCATCACTTCTCTTCTCTGGCGCAATAAACATTTGTTTCCATTTATTTTCATTAATTTCTCCTTCAAAATAATTTGGAATTTGTTTATCGGGTAGAGGATTAAACATGTAACTCGAAATGTAGTGAAAGAGATTCTCAGAAAACTAAAAAATTAAAAAAATATTATTTCGAAAAAAAACCTTCCCTTTTTCTCCATTAATAATGTACATAATAGCCAGACTTTTTCCTTCATTACTTCCACTCTTGTAGCAAACTCGAACAGAAATTAATAAAGAAAATTAATTTGGGTTCGCGAAAATTTAGTGAAATCGAGGAAGTAAAAGCCTGACCATTATGTACATTCCAAATCGAGAAAAAAGAGGGCAGCTTACAAAAAGACCCAAAATATCTCCCCTCCAACAAACCTCAACTAAATCAGAATTAGTAAATCTTCCAAGAAAAATAGTAGCAAAATCCATAGCTTGAAAAAGTTTAGAAAATCTGGCCAAACTCAAATCTGTATTATTTGAACAAAATTGTCTAGCCAAATTATCCACATCAGTTTTCAATGCCGACATTATAGAACGTTCAGCAGCTCGATGAATAGCCGTCTTCTTTCCATATTTCCCTCTAGTCTTTCTTCCAACAACTTTTTGTTCTTCCTCTTCCTCCCCTTCTCCTTCTTCTCCACATTCTTCATCCTCTTCATTATTTTCTTCTTCTTCATCTTCCTTTTCTCTTTCAATATCTTCAATTTCTTGAGAATCCATTAAAATGTTAGTTTCATAATTCTCAACAATATCAAAATCATCGTCATAAATATCTTGTTTTATACTTGTTGAAGGAATTTGTGAAGTAGAAGAGGACATTTTGTGAATAAAAATTTAACTAGAAATCTAAAAAAAATAAATTAAAATTAATAAAAAAAAATTTTAAAAAATTCTAAAAATAAAAAAACTTGTAAGCAAATTTTAAATTTTCTTTTTTCTTGGCAAAGTGTTTAAAATAAAAATATAAGTGGAAAAGAAAACAAAGTTTAAGTAACAGAATGGTAAGACAACAAAAGGAAAAGCAATAAAATAGGGGACACGCCCGAAATGTCGCGGGCCAAAATGTCGCGGCCGAAATGTCGCGACCGAAATGTCGCCGGCCGTAATGTCGCGAGGCCAAAATGTCGCCGGCCGAAATGTCGCCAAGCTTTTTAATTAAATATTGTATAAAATACTATTAAAATACCAAGTTTTTTAATTAAATATTCTGTAAAACACTACCTGATTAATTTTTCCTGAAAATAGATAGATTCTGATAATACCGGGCAAATACAGACGTTATGAATCAGAGCCTGGAGTCTTCGAACAGTTTCTTTTGGCAGACAGTGGAGAAGGAGATGATAATCGTATTCTGGTCTTTGGTCGTGAAACTTTTCAAGGTTTTTTAAGTTTACTTTTTTCTAATTGATTATATATAATCAAAATACCTGTACTCGATTTTATAGAATAATTAAAAAGCTTGGCGACATTTCGGCCGGCGACATTTTGGCCTCGCGACATTTCGGCCGGCGACATTTCGGTCGCGACATTTCGGCCGCGACATTTTGGCCCGCGATAAAATAGCGGTAGGGGACCATTGAGTCCCGCCGATTGAGTCCCGCCGGTTGAGTCCCGCCAGTTGAGTCCCTGGCCGGTTGAGTCCCGGCCGATTGAGTCCCGCCGGTTGAGTCCCCACCCAAAAGGGGACGTTTGAGTCCCCGTATTTCTTTCTAGGATCTTGAGGGATTAAGTGGGATATATGGAGTTTTGAATTGATATAAGAGTATTTGGTGAGATTTTGAGTGATAATAATAAATATGGAGGGATTTCAAGCGATTTGGAGTGATTAAAGTGGATATATAGACGGATTTTCAAGACGGAATTATTGCGGGTATGGTACCACTTTGAGGTACATTATATAGGAATATAATGATGGATTATAGGTACCTACCAAAATACCGGGTACTACCCCCAAATTGGTAACATACCTGTAATACTTCCATCCTGGGAATCATACGTAAACTTGGTGCTTTTATTTAACAAGTCCTAGTTGGGGGATATAATCTATAATCCCTCATATTCCTGTATAATGTACCTCAAAGTGGTAACATATCCGCAATAGACCAGTACTGAGAATCATACATACTTGTGTAAATCCTAGAAAGAAATACGGGGACTCAAACGTCCCCTTTTGGGTGGGGACTCAACCGGCGGGACTCAATCGGCCGGGACTCAACCGGCCAGGGACTCAACTGGCGGGACTCAACCGGCGGGACTCAATCGGCGGGACTCAAACGGCGGGACTCAATGGTCGCGTTCCGATAAAATAGTAAAATTATAAATTGGTAATACGGCCAAAATAGGACAAAAAGGTAAGAGAAAGCTCAGCGAAGTTATACAAAAAATCCCAACATGTTTTGAGTACCATTTTGTCGCATAACATTTTTTCGTCCTTTACTTTAGTACCATTTAGTCGTTTTTTGCTTGTACCCTTTTGTCAGGTCAGGTTTTTATTGAATTTTCGTTTGGATTTTAAAGATTTTTTAAATTTTTTTTTCATTCAAGTCTATTTTAGTATTCTTTAAAAAAATGTACAACAACGTTGGTTTGTCAACAGCTCGTGGTTCCGGTACAAATGCTTATGTTCAATCAAATGTTGCTAATCTTAGCTTTTCACGGGTATTTTTTAGTTTTTTTCTTCAAAATCTTCCTCTATTTTCCTAGAATAAAATCGTTTACAATGCTGAAGAAGACATTGCTCGTGCCGAAGCAGAAGTAAATAAAGCACCAAATTTGGAATTGTTGGATCATGAATATAAACGGTTAATTGAAATTAAATGTGTGGAATTTGAAGATTTGATGGAAGGAAAGGTTTGAAGTTTTTAACAGAGAAGGAATTCATTTTTTCAATTTTTAGGGTTTTAGTGAAGAAGAAATCAATTCAAAAGTTAGCGAGTATCGCAAACTTTTGTTTAATGAATTTGAAAGTGGCCGTCTAAATATGGATGCAGAATTGGATTCACGAAATTCACATTCTCGTGCAAAAGTTGCGAAGCAAGGACGAAGCAATATGCGATGGGCATTGGGTATTGATGCTTCTTTTGTTGATGGTTCTTCAATGGAGAAGTAAGAAAATTATTATTAATTGGTTAACAGACACATTCTGTTGGGGGACAGACTTATCGAGATATTTCAATGTCCGAACAGCTACTCGAATGTTTTCGGGACCTACGGCCGCTGGGTCTTGGATAGTACATTGTCTTATTAAAGGGAATAGTTTCTATGTTTTAGACCCAGTGTAAATACCCAAAAAGTTATTTTTGTCACAGCAATCCCTACATGTCCGTCTCGATATTTCTCCTTACCGTTTGGTCAACTTTTATTTTTTTGTCGAATAAAAATGTAAAAAAACTTTTTCAGACTTAAAAAAGCAAGCACAACAATCCTCAAAGAAGCAAATATTACTCAAGATAAAGCTGCACTTGAAAAAGAAATGGAAAAATCTATGATGGAAAAACTCTTGGAAAAGATCAAGAAAAAGCGCGAACAGAAGAAGGAAATTAAAAAGATGAAGAGGGCAATGCGTAAAAAGAATAAAGATGAAAGCGACGATTCTTCATCATCTGATTCAGATTCCTCAGGTTTTTTTGAATATTTTTCGGGTATTTATCCTCTTTATTTTTAGACTCATCTTCCACAGATTCTTCCTCCTCGGATGACTCATCAGACAATTCTTCTCTATCAGACTCTTCATCAACTTCAATTTCTTCCTCTTCCCCATCTGACGAAAAACACAAAAAGAAGAAAGGAGGAAAGAAAAGAAGCGAGAAGAAATTAAAAAAGCCAAAAAGTGAAGATGATGAAGAAGAGCAACAAATTCCATCTTTGAAGAAAGACGCTAAAAGAAGCAAAAACCACAGCAAAATTCAACAATCTGAACTTTTAGTGCCAAAAGAAGAACCACAAGAAGAATCAAATTTTAATGAAAATCGTCGAAAAGATTATAAAAAACGAGGAGAAAGAGGAGAAGAATATAAAACTCGGCATGAAGATAGAAATCGGGACAAAAATGTTTCGGTAAACTTTAACAGAATTTTTAAATAAATTTTTAAAATTTTTCAGCGTAGCACCGCAGCTGATTTCTTTGAGGATGAAGATCAAAATAACAACAGTAATCTTCCCGCGCAGTATCGACACTCAACAAATGACCGTGAAAGAAATCGAAAAAGTGGAGATGACAAAGAATATAGACGAAAAAGAAGACATGAACATGAGGATGGGGATGACGATAATCGTGACCGTTATAGACGGCGTTCACGATCTCCAGAATATAGAAGAGAAAGAAAGGAAAGACGAAATAGGGGTGAGTAAATTATTTTGAAAAATGTGTGTGGCTGTTTCCAAGTTAAAAACCCCTAAAAGCTTGTAAAAGAAAAAAAATATAAATGTACAACATTTTATATATTTTTTGACTGATAAAAAAATATTTTGAATCTGATTTAACAATGTTTGTATAACAATATAAGGTTTTCTAATGCACATTTCCAATAAGAAAATGGAAATTTAGAAAAGTATGAATTAAAAAATAAATATAAGCAGAGATCGGACATGGGTCTAGGCTAGCCTGAGCGAAACCAAAATTTTTAGGATGAAATGAAATAAATTTTAAAAATCATTTCGTTAGTGAGACGAAACAACGTTGGAATGAACCTAACGACATGTTTCGCCACGGCGTATAACCTAGGCTAAATTTATCTTGTTTAAATAAAGAACTCAAGCTTGATCTAGGCTGGATTCTTTCATTTAGGAGCATTATTTAAATAAGATCTATGCCGGATTTTAGAATTATTTAAACAAGAAGGCTTGATCCTACCTCCAAAGTTCCAATCTCTAATAAATAACATGTTCTTTAATAAGAGAAAAATTCTTGCCACCAATGTTTAAAAAAAAGAATACACGTTAAACAAACCCGAAAAATCCCAACAACATTATTTTTGTTTTTATACAACTTTAAAATTGAGCATATATTGTTGGTCAATTCCCAAATATGTATCAGAAATTACAAGTAAAAGTAATTGGTAAATACCACTGAAAATTAAAAAATTATTTAGAAAGAAAAAAATTTTTCTTTTACGGTTCATTAGGAGTTAAAATTCTCAGTCTTGCAATTTTTTGTTCTTCAATTAATGAAGGAATTCTTTCGTGTCCCCAAAGATGATTTGTTGTTGCATCACCTAAAAGGAGTATCCAGCCTGCCATTCTCTTCTTTGGAAATTTTGGGCAAAAAGCATTTGAATTGGCCTTTAAAAAAATTTTTTTCTTAAATTTTTTTAAATTTTTAAAAAACCAAATAAGGTCCACAGAGCTTTAGTGAAACAAAAAATTTATAATTTGTTGACGCAGAAAGCTCCAAATTTTTTCCATTCATTCCCACATTTATAATTATCTTTTCTTCAAATTTTTGACGTTGCTTTTTTTGTTGAGGTAAAAGATAAATTTGCTCTAAAGAAAGTATTGGCCATTGTAAAAGTGCTTTGAGAAGCTAAAAAAGAATTTTTTTAATTAAAAAAAATTTTTTTTAAAAAACCTCATCAGCTTCTTTTTCGCTTAAAATACTTTTAGAACACAATTCAGTTATAATTCGCTTCTCCTCTTTTTTGTTTAGCTTCTGTCCATTATTTAGTTGATAAATTCCAAGACGTTCTTTAATTTGTGGAATGGAACATAATGGACTTGAAATTAAAAAAATTTTAAAATTTAAAGGAAAAAAATCTCTTCCAAACCCAATTCCGTCGATTGAATGTGCACTTAAATGAGGTAAACAAAGAAGAGGATGATCTGAATACCAACGTGCTTGAAAAATTTGTTGTTGTAAAATTAATACATTTAATGTTGTATTTAATAAATGCATTTCTACACAAAAATCGAACATTGCCTTTAAAAGAAATTTTTATTTTAGAAGGGCCCAAGGTATGTTGTGCATTCTTTAATGGGTGTATCTTATGTTAGGTAGGGGATATCGCTTATTCAATCTCCCTCTCACCCATTAGCTTCCTTCACTCGTATCATCTTAGCGGAGGGGGTATTCATTAGAGGAGTGTGCTGAAATGCCAACCCCTAAAACCATTGAAATGCCAAACTTTGGAAATGACCTTTGGGTAGTCCCCTCACTCAATAACCAACCAACTTTAAGAAACATATCTTAAAACGACCCCATTTATAAAAATTAACAAAAAAACCTGTAAAATACGAATGCAAGATTCAATAATAGAACGTTGATCAGTAATATAATCTACTGGAAGATGCATACGAGTGAAGTGTGCTTGATACAATAAATGAGTTTTTACATGTGATGACTCCCAATTGGAAACCTCAAGTTTAATTGGAAGAAATGCTTGAATCTCTCTTTAGAAAAATATTTTTTTAATCAAAAATCTTTAGAAAAACCTATTAATTTGGTCTTCATTATGTCTTACAGGAATTTCTTCATATTCTGGACACTCCTAAAAACATTTAAAAAAAATTAGATTTTTCTCAAAATTTTTATAAAAAACCGTTAAACAAAGCAAAAGTTGTTCAACACTCATTCCTTGACATATTCTTTCTTTAAAATGTCGAATTGTTCGATGCTCCAAATAATAACGACTAGCAATACGTCCAAATGGGGTAGAATGGATATAACCATCATTTTCCTTCAAAGAATTTTTTTTTGATTTTTAAAACAAAATTATTAACCAAATCGGGAAGAATGCAATATGAAGCACATAATTCTACTAAACAAGAATCTACTGTTGTACTCAAAAATGTTGTCAATTCTTTATTATTTAATTGTTCAATGCCGTAATAACTTAAAAAGGTTAACAATAAATAAGTGGACTTTTAAAAGTTTTTTATGAATTGTAAAAAAGAATATTTTGTTGGGTCTGGGGTGGGGTTAAGGACATGAGTCCATAATGCAAAAGAAATCACAAAATTATATTTACCAAAATATCTACCAAATAAGCGCCTCTTTAACTCCAATTTAGTACTCACGTCTTAAATCAGATCAACTAATCTAGTCTCTTACCAAATAATTAAAAATAACAAACGCTGGATTTGCAAATAATCGTCTATAAAGATAAGTTCCAGCCAAATATTCAACAATCTGTTGACGATTAACAATTGAACCTGAACATATTTCAGCATTTACATGATTAGGTAAAACAGGAAGTAAACTTGAAAAGGAAAAATTTTTAGTTTATCAAAAAAATTGTTACTTAGATTCAACAGGGAAAGGTTCATATAAAAAACGTTTGTAAAAATTCTTTTTTACATCCTGTACAAAAACAACAGCGACCGCTGATGTGTCGTATTGTGGTCGACCTGCACGTCCAATCATTTGAAGAACATCTGTGAAAATCAAAAATATTTTTATAAAATTTTTAAAAAACCTGTGACTGGAAAGTCAATATATTTATGAGTTTTTCCATCATAATATTCTGTCCCTTTAACAATTACTAAATGAGCTGGAACATTTATTCCCCAAGCGAGTGTAGCTGTAGCGACTTTATGAAAAAAAATTATTAATTTAAATACTCATCGAGAATGGGACGAGTTACCCCATCCAAGCAATTTAACAACCCCGACTCCAAATAAGGAGACTATTTCACTCTCCTTAAAAAACGAGCCGAAACTCGGGATTTTTCCCAACCCGATCCGAAAATTTTTTTGACTTTTCTCCAACACGCCCCATCCATAATACTCACCCAATATTTGAATTTTTCGTTCAACAAAAAGTCTTTCAACAAGAGCTCTTTCAGAATGTTGTAATCCAGCATCTAAAAAATCAATTAAAAATGATTAGAATTTCAAAATATTTACGATGCATTCCAATTCCATAATTTAAAGTTAATGCCAAATTATCATCCCGAACATCCTTTAATAATGTTTCCAATTCTAACTGTTCCATTTTTAACCATTGATGCTGTTTCGAATCTGGTTCACGTTGTAAAAGTGAAAGTAAAGCCATTGAAGTTAATCTTGTTTGTCTACGGCTAGCAACAAAAATGAGAACAGGTTTTGAAGGAGAAAATTGTTTGATATACTAAAAATTATTTAGAAATAATTTTTTTTTAATTTTATACTTGAAATGCCGGTTTATTCATCAATCCCATACGAGGACAATAATGTTGACCAGGAAATCCTTGAATGTGTACTTGAATTGGTACGGGACGTACACTTGGTCTAAAATTGAATAATGCAGAGTCTGGAACCCCAATCCAATCTGCTACATCCCCAGCATTTGCCAAAGCTGTAGAAAGACCAATTATTCGAATTGGCAATTTGGCAAGTTCACGCCGGCGAGCAAGCGTTTTTATTCTTTAAAAAAATTTGGAAAGGGACTTAGAATTATTACAAAATTAAATAAAATTGCCTGGTCACAATTGCTTCAAGTACTGCACCTCTTTCAACACCCAATAAATGAATTTCATCAATAATTAAAAGTTCAACTTCTTGAACATAACGACGAGTCTCGGCACAACTAAAATATTAAACAGTTAAAATAATTAAATAAAAAAAATCCTAACCGTGTAATACCGTCCCATTTTTCTGGTGTAGTTACTAGAATTGAGGCAAGATTGAGTTCTTCAACATCAGGGGTATTATCACCAGAAACTTCAACAATTCTGGTAAAAAAAAGAAAATTAAAATAAAATTGTCGTGAATATCTAGTCAGCAAAAAAAAAAGAAAAATATAAAGAACAAGGAAATGAACAGCGGCTAGGAATAAAAAAACAGCAAATCCGCACCAGCCGATGCTTGGTATGGCTAGCTATATCCCATCAGATTAGACCCAAGTTTGGAGAGAAAGGGAGCCCTGGATCAAAGAACAGCAAGTCCAACCTAATTTCTCATAAAATAAAATCTTACGGAAATCCAAGTTTTTTGTTAAATTTTTGTTCCCAATCCAATACACGTTCACGAACCAAAGCTTTAAGAGGAGCAATATAAACACACTTAAGAATATAAAAATTTAAAACAAAAATATTTTTTAAACCTTTTTTAAGGGTCTCAAATTAAAAAGTCTAAAAATTGCCAATTCTGCACACAAAGTTTTTCCAGAAGATGTAGGTGCTCCAATTAATGAATTTTCATCCGTTGCATAAAGTGTGTGGAAAACTTGTGTTTGTACAGGATTGAAAAATTGAAAAGAATAAAGTTGTTGATATTCAACATTTTTTAATGCGGATAAAGGTAAAGGTTCAAGATCCAATAAATCTGTTGAAAAAAACATTAAAAAATCCAGTAAAAAATGTTCTAAACAAAAATTTATACCAGTGTGTGGTTTTATCGATGTAGGCATAACTGTCGTTGCTAAAGTTAAAGGTACAACTGTATCTTCAACAATATAACGATCACTAGCCACTCTTAATAAATATTGATGTTTAACTTGATCCTCGTTTACAGGAATTGTAAAAATTAAACGTTGTGGATCGCCACTTATAGCCTTTAAAATAAGAAAAAATTAATTAGTTGATTGTTACTCGGTTTTACTATAAGATAAACTCTTGTGGCTTAAAAATGTTTCCTAATTAAAGGGTATCTAAGAGGGTGTGCTATTTCGCCGTTCATCTTTTGCCGAATTTTCGCCTTTTTTCGTGTTTCGCCTTTTGTTTTTATCTTTTTTAATTCTCTTTTCGCCTTGCCTTCTTCATCCTAAAAAAATGTTTCATCACACCCCTGGTATCTAATTTTGAGGGAATCTTACATCTATGACTCGACTAAATTATTAAAATAAATTTTAATAAATGTAAACCATCTTTTTAAGCAGAATAAAAATTTCATGATGAAGGATAATATTAGCATCTGCATCTTCTACAATCACCCAAAAACGTTGTGCACCACCCAAACGATCACACCAAGTAAAGCTTGGATATAAAAGTGCTTCTATTTGAATTATTGTACTAAAAAGTAAAAAAAATTTAAATTAAAAAATAAAATTTCAAACCAAGTTATTGGCCTAATATTAGCTTCAACATCAATAAAAGGAAGCATTCTAATTGCCTCATAAATAACTTTTCCATCACTAGAACATAAATAACCCAAATCTTTAGCATCCATGTCATATAAAGAAAATAAATTCATTCTCCGACTTTCAATTTTTTGAACAACGTTAAAACTGAGAAGATCGACATCAGCTAAATGTCTACAAAAAAGAAAAGCTTTGTTTAATTAAAGATTTAATGGGATCAACCAAGGAGGTCAACTCGCTAGTGGTCAATTGATCCTTGAGGTCACCCCTAATATTTGAGTGTATGAAAAAAGATTTGTGCATAAAGGTCATATCGATGTGTTTGGGATTAATTTTGATTTGTTGGGGGATTAAATGACAGAAGATGGAAATTCTGTCATATCATGAGTAGCTTTTATCCGCCCAAATATTAACAGTCTCCAAGGTCAGTTGACCTTTTGGGTAAAGCCAAATAAAAACCTTAATGGAGAATTAAAAGGCCACAATCTTTGTTCAATACATTTAGCCATAGTTAAACAAGCTTCTGTTGTTTGTGCCCAACCACGTCTTAAAGCAATTTCAAAAATTGCCCGAGCGATTCTTCCAGCATTTTGTGAAATATAATAAAGTTCTGATGAAAGAGCAAAATCTTTGACAAAAGCACGAGAAATATAACTCTAAAATTTTTTTGAAAAGATGTCATAAAGACAAAATAAAAACCTGAAGAAGACAATTAACTTTCCCTGCAGTTGTTGCTAATCCACTACGTATTTTTAAATTTGCTCCAAATGAAGCTAATTCATCTAATTCAGTCATTTCTGAATCACGATTCTAAAAAACGAAGAGAATTTTTTTATCTGAAAAATTTTTCTATACTTTTATTTGTGCAAATTCTGAACAAGAAGAAATTAATGCAATAATCATTTCATCTGTCATCATTTCTGTTAAACTTATTGGGCCGTTATGATCATTTATTAATTCAATTGTTTCAAATCCAATATAATAATTCTTTAAAAAATAAATTTCAAAAAAAATTTTTAATTAAAAAAAAACCGATGCTATTCTTCCCAAATCAGTTGCAGAAACAAAATTATTACTAAAATTAATATTTTATCATTTGAAAAATTTTGTAATGACGTAATGCTAAAAAGGCAAATGTCCAAACTCTCCCAAATCCCAGCTTTATTTCCACAGTTTGGGATTGTGATGGCTTTTGGGGGTTTGACATTTCAGCCTTATAACGCACACCAAACAAATTTTATTTTTTTTTAAATTTACATTGGATCATAACGTATCATTCTATTTGCATCCAAACGTCTTGCAGCACTATGACAAAAATCGGATAAATAGGCATTTAATTGGGAATCTTTTCTCAATTCTTTCCAATCAACTCCATACTTAAAAATTAATTTAATAAAAACCAGAAATTTTTTTTAAAAAACCTGTAACGGATTTTTCCGTAAACGAATATAAAAATAAGTAAAATGAATCCATTCAATAGCTTCAGAAATATTTGAAATTGCACCAGAAGCTATTTCAGCATTTAAATTGTTTAGAATACGAGATTGAAATTGTGATTCTATTGGTGTTTGTCGATGAAACATTTCAATATAATGAGCCAATTTTTGAACATTTGTAATAATAACACCATGACCTGTGTAAAATATTTTTATATTATATTGCTTTAAGCACAAATTAAAAATTTTTTTTAACTTGCAAAAAAAATATATGACTTGGTAATAAATACACTCCATCAAGGAGTTGGGGATGGAAGCACAGTCAGTCGTGCTTTGAATCGGATACCTCCAAAAATGGTTGTTCTCTGTGAATTTTTCCAAAGAGATTTGTGAAGGGTTCAAATTCCAATTCTCCCAATATTAAATCAAAAACTATTATTGTTTTACCCATATCCTCATATTGTGGTCGTCCCGCTCTTCCAAAAATTTGTTGTACATCCAAAATACCAATGTCAGTAAAAATACCCTTTTGCGGGTCGAATATTTCTGTTCCCTTGAAAAAAATAAAATTTATATGTTAAAACCCAATAATCTCTTACTCGTATAATAACTGCATAAGCAGGTAAATTAACTCCCCAAGCGAGCTTTAAATAGAAAATTTAAATTAATTTAAAAAATATCCTTGAATTAAAACCGTTGCTGTACACATCATTACACGAATTGCACCTTCCGTAAACATTTTTTCCATCAAATGGCGATCGTGACGTGCTGAAAAAGAATCATAATTTATAATGCAGTGTCCGTCAAAACAGATTTTTCTGTATTTGCAACTAAAGCCGGACCTGATCCAGCCAGATTTTTCTTGATTGATCCGGTCAGGAAAAATCCGCAAATCATGAAAAAAGTGACTTGTGAATCGGATTTTGGAAAAATCTGGATGTATCCGGTTGGGTCCGGCGCCTGTCACTAATAATAAATTGATATAATTTACTTAATCCCGCATGGTGAATACCAAGACCCGATTGAAAAAGAAATTGTAACTCTCTGCTTTGAGCATTGTTCATCTATTGAAATAAAAAATAAAAAAATTAGATTTAAGAAATCTTTTACCGCTTTTTTAGCTTTCAAATAAGAACTAGTAACCTCCCCTCCTTTCTCAACAAGAAATAATTCTCTTTGATTCTAGAAAAAAATTTTTTCTTCAAATAAAATTTAAAAAATAAACAAACAGAATTAGCAGCTTTATCAATAAATGTTCTAGCCAATTGTCCAGTAGCATTTCTTGAATGGACAAAAATTAAAACTTGGTGTTTATCATAAAGAAATTTGACACATTTTTGATAACAAACTTCATCCATCATTTCTTTTTGAGTCATCAATTTATTTTGAGAAATTTTTGTTGGTGGTTTTTCTCCTTTACGAATAGCTTTTTCCCTTTCCCGTTGTAAAACAATGGCTTGACGTTCAGAGTCTCGAACACCGAGAAAACTGAAAAAACGAAAAATTATTTTCTTTATAAATTAAAAATAAACGTTTGAGCAAGCGGAACAGGACGAAAACGTCCATCAAAATGAAAAAGTCCTTGAGTTGGATCAACACGTAAAAATGTTGCTACATCATTATAATTTGGTAAAGTTGCAGAGAGTCCAACAATTCGAATATTTTGATGATAAACTTCAATCTTAAGAAGTTATTTTTTCTTAAAATCAAAAAATTGTTTTACTCTTCTAAGTGTTCTTGCAATAATTGCTTCAATTACAGGTCCACGATCATCATGTAACAAATGAACTTCGTCAATAATTAAAAGACGAACTAATTGGCTAAGTTCTTCATCATCGCTTTTGCGTGTTATAACATCCCATTTTTCTGGTGTTAAAACAAGTACCTAGAAACTGTCTATTAGAGAGCGGTAAAAACACTTTTCGGGCCCAGAAAACGGATTTTGGATTTCATAGTAGTACCGGCAAAAACAAATCAGACCGGATTATTCTCAAATGATTCGACCCGAAAAAATCCAGAGACTAAAATATCAGGATGTTGTACCAAATAAATACGGTCCGGTGCCGCTCATTAGGGTTTATAATCAGTTTAGAAAAAGAGGATAAAAAATATTTTTTACAAACCTGTGTTTCTTGAATTTCTTTTCTACTTAATTGGGAATCTCCAGTTAATTCACGTGTTTTCAATCCAAGGCGGCCCAACCGTTTAGAAAAATTGCTGGTCATTTCTGTTGCTAATGCTTTCATTGGTGCCAAATAAATTACCTTAAATAATTAAAGACAAATCTTTTTGGATAAAAATAACTTTAAAAGCATTTTTATTTATTTTTCCATTCTTTGTTCGATTATCACGAATTGTTCTCAAAATGGTCAATAATGCAATATTTGTTTTCCCAGCACCCGTTGGAGCACAAATCAATAAATTATTCAAAGTATTATAAGCTTGATCAAAAACTTGAGATTGAATGACATTTAAAGATTTAATTCCATCAAAGGCTGTTTGCGCAAACTTTAAATTAAAAAAATTTTTAATTCAAAATTCAAAAAAACCTCATCAAGTTCATCAATTTTTAAACGGGGGAAATTGGCCAAAAATTTTTTATTATTATCAATTGGGGGAGGAATATGTATTTCTTCACATAATGTCGAACTTTTTGAAGTACTTCCTTCAGGTAAAGCCATTTTACATCCATGGACAGGCAAATTAACAAATCTTGTTTGACATTCAAAATAATTATTTTGTTTTGAATTTTGTTGTTGCTCATTAAGAAATTGTGACAAAATTGCCTCTTCTTCTTCCTCCTCTTTTTCGTCAATTTCAAAAAATTTATTTTCCCATTTAATCATTTCAGGTTTGTAAGAAAATCTTTAAAAAATTATTTTTATAAAAATATTAAAAATTAAATTAACCTCAGTTGTGAATTTGTAATTAAGGAATTTGAAGAAGTTGAAGGTCCAGCATCATCTTGGTACGACTAAAAATATTTAAAATTAAATTTCAATTTAAGAACTTTTTAAAATACATAGCATACTTTTACAAATTCAATAAATTGCATCTTAATACTAAACGCCGAAATACCAAAACCCCAAAAACTGCCAAATAGCAAACCGATGGGAAATACAATCACGCGAAAGGTTTAAAACCACATTTTGGCACTTCGGCGTCTTTAGAGAGTTTGGTACAAACAGCATCATATCATTTCCTAAGCTAATAAGTTTACCGTGACACTCGATGGAAGAGCAAAAAGAGTTTCATGAATGTTGTCAGCTGATTTTTTTGCATTCTTCTTACATTTAGTTGAAGCGTCCATTTGTTTCTAAATTTAAACTAAAAATGTAAGACTAAATTCTCAAAAAAAAAATTAAAAACTAATTATTTAAAAAAGTATATTTTTGTAAAATTATTTAAACGATAAAACAAATTAAAACATTTTAAAAAATACATAACATTTTTATCCATTAATATAATCTAATTTACAAACTTCAAATTTGGTAGAATAAAATATCAGAGCTTACATTTATTAATTAATAATAATTTTAAAGAATAGAAAAATAAAATAGCAAAAGAAAGGGTCCCAAAAAGAGTTTACCAAAAAAGATAGATTACAATCAAAAACTTTAAAAAAATCCGAAAAAACCATAAAATCCCAAAATAATTTTCCCAAAAACAGAAAACTGTCCAAAATTAAAAAAAACTTCCAAAAACCTTAATTTAAGCAAAAGTAATATTTGTCGTAAAAATATTCTTCATTTCATCATTATTATCATCTTCTGGTTCAACCAATTGATATTCAACATTTTCAGAACATTTTTTAGCAACATAATTTCCGCAAATAAGTTTAAATGAACTTCGATTTAGAAAGCGTCCAAGGATTTGTATACCGTGGTGTCCAAAAGAAGTTATGCCGCGGCCAAGGTCATTACAATAATGAATTTTTCCTTCAACACAATATTCTTCAATAGGGAAATCACCACCAATACTGGGAACGATGATTTCAAAACGTGGAGAAAGATTGGGATTCTTAAAAATATTAAAAAAAAATAATTTTAAAATCCAATTTCTGACTGACAATGAGCAGATTTATTCAAAAACATTTCTTCCATAATTCTTGATTTTTGAATTTCTGAAAACCCCCGTGTTTTCGATAGAGGCAAACATAGTTCAAATAATTTTACAGCTTCATTTTTCAAAAAAATCCTTCGGAAAAATTTCTCCCTAACATAAACCCGAATAAAATGGCCGGCATTTCTCCAAAAATATTCCAGAAATTTGTTAAAGTCAAAACAATCAATTTAATTGTATTAATTTAAAAATTTTTTAACCTTTATTATTTCCTCTTTAAGTGTACTTAACAACATCTTAATATTTCCAACAAAATCTGACGGCTCCTTCTGGTCATTAAAAAATCCATCAATAACAAGTTTACGTTTCGATGTAAGGTTTAAAAGCCAATTAGCCAAAGCAATATTGTCAAATCCTTGAAAAGCGCTTCGAATTCGTAAACTTGAACAGCGTGCAACGAATGGACACGAGAAAAATTGATTAGAAAGAAATGCATCTTTGCACTCGACAGAAATGTGTAAACATCTGTAAAGAAAAATCGACCTTAAACCGGTTTAGGACACGCCACATGGGAAATCTCCAGAGTTCATACAATTTTTAGGAATTTTCTGAGAGCCCGAGGTACGCAATAAATGAGTTTAGGAACATGTCCTAAACCAGAGCTTATTTTCAAAAAAAACCTTGTCGGCAATTTCAAAAATAATGCATCCAACGAAATCCAAGCAGAATTTAAATATTTGTTAAATTTTCCCAAAGATGCAATTTCCAATTCATAAGCATCAATTGATGGACGAATACGCTCAAGAAATTTGAGAAACTCCGTGATTTGCCCGTCATTTTTGATATCATCAAATTTAACATTTGCAGGAGGAAGTCCTTTTGGAATTGGACGCTTAAAAATTTTTTTTGACTATTTTTAATAAATATTAAAAATCCTACCGGAGTTTTAAAAGTACGATATTGATTAGCCTCCACTTTAAGCAGCGGTGCATTCGAAATAATGCAATTGGTGACGTGTGTTCCATCCTAGAAGTACATATTTCCAAATTAATTTTTTTTAAATTTAAGAAAACCTTTATAGTCAGCGATATTTCTCGAGGATAAAGTTGATCGATCAGTTTAGTAGAAAGTTGCGAAAACAAATAATTTGTCGGGCGAATATTATAACATAAATTTTTGTAAGAGACAAATTTGAAGATATCTTCAATCGTCTCATTTGGTAATAATGTAATCAAAGGTTGCATTGTTTTTCTAAAAAATTATATAAAAATATTACTGAAATCCTTTATTCCCATCTACTTTCCCTTTTTGTATTTTGCCAACAAACAGACAAAAATTAATTTTTATTTTTGGAAGGGAGAAACGATGGAATGTCTGACCATTTTACATTTAAGAAAAAATAGGAGGGGAAAAAAGTGGCACGCCAACGACACACTACTTTAAATGGCGAAAACTCTAAATTTGGCGCAAAAAATAAAAAGTGAAAAGGCTTACTTTGTCGAAGACGCTTTGCCGCACATTTTCACTAATGCCATTTTTGGAGAAGCAGAAAAAAAATATTCAAGTTGTATTTTAGTATTTAATTGAATGCTGCTTTAAAATTAATAATTATGATTAGAAAGCTCTAAGATAAATATTGGAAAATTTTAATCATTCGCCATAACAAAAAATTTTTTTTGAAAATTTTATTACCCTATACAAAACAATATTGAAGTTAGGAAAACAATAAATACAAAAAAATCACATAATTAACAGTAATATACAATAATAGACATCCTAATACGATAATCTAATAATGTTATATAATATTCTCTATTGGATATTTACTAGTTTAGAGAGCCATAGTCGTCTCCGTAACAGTGACATTCAAGATACTAAAATCAAAAACCAAAGGCGCAAAAGTCTGAGCAAATACTTGGCATAGAATGAATGAACCAATTTTCAGAACCAATCCACCCAAAATCTTTAAAAAAATTTCCTTTTAAATTTAAATTTAAAAAAAATTCTCAAACCATATCAGAAACATGCAATATTTTTGCAGAGAAGACAACAGCGTTTGGTGGGGTGCCCGAAGGAAACATAAATGAGAAGGACGATGCAAAGGTAACCTTTGATAATGAAATATTAATAAAAAAATAAAAATATTTAAAAACATACCGGCAATACATAGGTAAGTGGATTAATATCTTGAGCAATCGCAATAGAAGCAACCACAGGGCTAAAAATAAAATATTTTTCAGGGTAAATGTAACAATAATTTTGATACATAAAGACGGCTGCTGTAGCTGTATTGCTAGCGAATTCTGAAAAAGATGAAGTAAAATTATAAAAAATAAAAATGTGTCGGTCACTTCGCCTTTTTTGGAGTTTTCATTCATTTCAAATTAATTTTGGCATTCTCGCCTTTCGTGAAAAACGAAAATAAATTTAAAAAGCGAAAGACACACCCCCAAAGAAGTCGAAAATTCGGCAAAAGTGACCGGCACATTACTGCTACTTATATTTCATACCAGTCAACAGGCAAACAATTCCACTCGAAAATGCGATGAAGGCCCATGGAGGCATCCATTGCATTGCTGACAGTTTGATAGCAATCCTTAAAAATATTTAAAGAAAATAAAATTTAAAAAGAAACCAATCAGAAAGGCCACTTTTCTTTACTCCATTAGCCATAGCAAATCCACCTCCCAACAGAAAGAGGGTTGACCAAGAAAATTTTTCCCTCATTAACTTCCAAGTTATTATAGTACGAATAGGCTCATCTTTGTTTTCTAAAAGTTTGTCCACGGTTGCCGATGAAAATGGATTTTCTGCAGGCAAAACAAAAAGCAACATGGAAATTAGCATTGATGCCGTTCCATCAGTCACATAACTTTATAAGAAAAAATTGAAAAATTTTTTTAAAATTTTTAATACCTTGCAGTGAACAGTTTAGTCCAAGCAGGGCGAGATAACCACTAAAAAATTATAAAAAAATTTAAACTTAACCAAAAAAATCTTCGAACCAAAGCAATTAGCGACAGAAAGGAAATTAACACAACCAATTCTTCATATCGCATAGGCCCCTTTAAAACGAACAAAGAAATTTTTTAATTTTATAAAAAGCATACCAATTCCTTATATTTTTTGACAATCATGTCATTAACAACTTGATTGTTTTTCTTGTTGTTATTGCTAAAATAAAAAAATATTTTTTTGAAAATATTTTAAATATTACCAAAATCCAATAAACAAAAATTGAAGCCAAATCCAACAGATTAATAGAAGAATAATAAGCTAAAATTTATACAAAAATTATTCATTATTTAAACGTTTAGTAGGAAGAATTCAGTCATACTCCGCTTCGGAAAATGGCCTAGTCCCCTTGTTTTTTCGATTTTAAGGGAATAGTATCCCGGCCCGTAGTTTCTCCGACCGAGTCATTCTACTCGTCTTCGGAGCTCTTTTTTTGTTTGTGGGAATCGTAGTATGGGTGATATGACGGAATTTTAATGTTTCGGGCTTATGTCCATTTTTTCCATTGTCTCAAAACTACCTGTGGAATAGAATAACACATATAAGAAAAGAAGGCCACAGGATTTTTATCACCATAAAGGCTAAAGAATAAACAAAAATTTTAAAAATTAATTTCAAATAAAAACCTCTGGAAATGGCTATTCATGGAAATAATTGAACTAGTACCAATCAGGGTGCCTTTAAATTGGTAAAATTTAAAAAATTTTTAAAACATTAAGATTTACCAGCGCCACCAATTGCAGAAGCATAAGCAATTGAAAGTAAAAGACCTTTGTAGATACGCCGCTGTTGCTTATTATCCGAAAGAACCAACATCTGAGAGACTGTATCAGCAGAATCTCTTGACGAATTTAATGATTCAGTCCTTTTTAGAAAGAAAAATAATTTTAAAAAAATTAGAAAACTAAACTCTAAACGTTCACACATATCCAATTCTTTAATAAGCGCAAGCACCAAGGGCAGCTTCAATAAAGAAATAATTAAATCGACTAAATCAACAAAAAACAAACCATCATGCTGAAATTGAGAAAGATTAAAAGAGAATTTAATTCAAAAAAAATTACGTAGTAGTTGAGGTATTTGACATCCACAAAGAAATAAAAGCTGTTGCAACTTGCAATCCAAGCATTAAAAAGCGAGGATTAGCACCGGTAAAACACAGTGTTCGCAGAGCAACACGCTCGTGTAAACGAGAAGATTCTACCGCAACAGCCATAACCTAAAATGAGAATTTTTTAATTTAAAAAACAAAAAAAATCACCATAGAACCAAAGAACATCATATTAGAATCGTTCAGATATGCTGAAGAGACAGCCTCAGCCGGTTCAATATCTAGCAGTGGATAGGCAATAGTCGGGATTAATGCAGTCACAGGCAGAGGAAGTGTTTCGGTTACCCAGAAAAATCCTTAAAAATAAATGTATTAGAGAAAAGTTAAATTGTGTTTTAGTGCCCAGAAATTGTGCTGCCCCTTGAAAACCCATAAGTGGCACAATGCTGAGGGAGGACCAGACTGATTTTATAAAGATTATATCGGCGTCTGGGCCCTCAAACGCAATTTTTCTGAAAATAATTGCTGCTAGATTACCCATAACGAAGATGACATAAGCACAAGAAGCCGGCTAAAAAAATAAAAAATTACCACTCATTTATAAATATCCATTAACTCACCGGCGTTCCAATAATCAACGGAATTGGACTGAATACAATCGGAAGCAGAAAAAACATGAAGAAACGTCTCAGCGATCTCAGACGAACCATTTCTTTGATTTTGGGCGTTAACGTGCCCATGTTCTGAATTTGACTAAACTCCGAAGGGGGATCCGGCTCCTTTTTAGACATTACAATATTTATATTATTAGATTAGACCCTAAAAAATAATCTGATTAAAAAATAAATAATTAATAAAAAATAGTAAAAAAAAACAAATGGAGATTAACGGCGAAAATTTTTTAAAAATTAGTTAGTTGCCCTTTTATAGTAACTTTTGCACTTTGGGAACATTGAGTCACCCTGGTTGAGTCAATAATCCATATAAGACTTTTAGGTATCAGTGATTTCGAATAAACCTTTTAGCATTCGAAAGTTCCCGATATGAGGATTATTTTAGCCAACATCACTGTTTTGATCAGATTATCCTAGAAAAAGTTATATCGCAACTGGCACGTTCCACTGTACTCAGTTGACCCCATAAATATCATAATGCCAAACAATTTTTATATTATTTTTAATTTTAAAATTATCAGTAAATCCACTTCATTATCTCGCTTATCTCTCCAATCTTATTTTTATCAACCACATTTTTAAACATTTAAACTCTCAATAGATCCAAAAACAGTTATAATGGCGCCGGTCCAACTTTGAACACATTACGTATTTAGCGTCAGTTATTTTTATCTTTCTTATCATTTTTGTTTCCTCTATCAAATTTTTATGTTTCCCTGTCTATCATGTGTGGTACACTGATAAAATAATTATTTAATTAATTTCCAGAATAAATTAATTTTTCTTGACACATATTATTGACTTAAATTTAGAATTTTATCTCTTTCCCTTTAAACAAAAAAAAGATAAATATTTTGCTGAAACATCATTTTCTCACGATCAGTACATTTTTATGTTTGCAGCATATTCCTACGAATTATTAAGAAAGGTTTGCCAAAAAGGAATGCATTTTTTATCAGTAAAATTATTTTATTTCTGTACATGAAATGTTTCTAATTAACATATTAGTATGTGTATTTCCTTAATAAATAATTTATTTTTACTCGTTCCTTCTCCAAAAAATTTTATTTTTATAAAAAATAAAGATCTAAAATTAAAAAAAAATGACTAAGATTTTTGATTTTGGTCGAGGATCTTGACCAGGTTCTTAACCTCGAGTTAAGAAAAAATCAAGGAACTCTGACTCTGGATCCAGGAAAATCTATGTCTGGTCCAAAATCCATGTCAAAATTCATTTTACTGAATCCGATCTCTAATAAAAAAATTTATTTAAATAATTTTACAGGATTCTTCTAATCAACTAGATCAATTTAAAATGTCCAAAATTGATCAAGCACCTATAGAAATTAATTTAACAACTTCTAAAACGTTGTCAACTAAAATTAAAATCTTCATTCGTTTGCGATCTCTCAGATATTTTTTTACTTTTCTGCTAGTCCCTACTGTTTTGGCACCAATTCCATTGATTATTGGCACGCCAGTATTTTTTTTTATTAAATTATATTTTTAATTTAAAAATTTTTTAGCCAGCTTCTTGTGCTTATGTAATTCTTGTAATGGGTAAAATAAAATTTTTGAAATTTAAAAATAAATTTTAAAGCTTTCTTTTGGTTAACCGAAACAATTCCGTTGCCTGTAACTTCTTTAATTCCAATATTTGCTTATCCATTACTTTCTGTTGAGTCGGCGGAGCAAGTTTCCTCAGTTTATCTAAGCGATTCGAATATGATTTTCTTTGGGTCTATGGTCAGTTTTTCTTTTTTTTTGAATTGAACTGCTACCTTCCTAAAAATTAAAAAAAAATATTTTCTAAAAATCCCATTTAAGGTTATGGCTGTTGCGGTAGAATCTTCTCGTTTACACGAGCGTGTTGCTCTGAGAACACTTTGTTTTACCGGTGCTAATCCTCGCTTTTTAATGCTTGGATTGCAAGTTGCAACAGCTTTTATTTCTTTGTGGATGTCAAATACTTCAACTACTACGTAATTTTTTGTTGAATTTTGTTAAAATTAATTTTTCTCAATTTCAGCATGATGGTTTGTTTTTTGTTGATTTAGTCGATTTAATTATTTCTTTATTGAAGCTGCCCTTGGTGCTTGCGCTTATTAAAGAATTGGATATGTGTGAACGTTTAGGGTTTGTTTTTCTAATTTTTTTAAAATTATTTTTCCTTCTTTTAAAAAGAAATAATCCAATTCCTCATGTTGCATCAAAGGATTCAATAGAAAATGTTTCTCAAGTTTTGGTCCTTTCCGATTCCAAACAACAACAACGTATTTATAAAGGCCTTTTACTTTCAATTGCTTATGCTTCTGCTATTGGTGGAATTGGTATGAAAATTTTAAATATTTTTTCCTTTTAAATATATTTTCGGCTGCCAAGTTTTGAGCGATTTCCGACAGGTCCTATTTTTGGCGCCTTAGTCATTTTCGACTGACCTTTAATTAAGCATAGATGAAATGAGCCAAAATATTTTTTATTTTTAAATAATTTATGTTTAAAGGTACTTTAATTGGCACAGGATCAAATATTGCTATGAATAACCATTTTCAAAGGTAAATAAGATTTGTAAAATAAATTTTAATTAAATTTTATTTTTCAAGTATTTATGGAGATAAAAATCCCGTATCATTCTTTTCATTTATTTGTTATGCTTTACCTCAGGTTTTTTCAAATTTTAGAAAAATTAAAAAAAAATTTTCAGGTGATTATTCTTTTGATAATTTGTTGGATTTGGCTACAATTTTTATTTATTGGATTTAGGTAATTAAAAAGTTTTTTAATTGAGAAAATATTTTTTAAGAAAAAATAGCAAGAAAAATCAAATTGTGGATGATATGCTTTTAAATAAATATAAACAACTTGTAAGTTGAGATTGAATTACGATCAAACTTCACTAGTCATTTAAATAAATTAATTTAAGGGACCAATACGTTATGAAGAAATTACTGTTGTATTGTCATTCTTGGCTTTAATAATTCTTGTTAGATTTTTTGATGATTAATTTTCTTATTTTTTAATTAAGTGGATGACACGTCCAATTTGGCACAAAATGTTTAGGCCAAAGTTTTTTTTATTTTTTGGAAAAGTTAAAAAATTTTTATTTTTAAAGTTACGTCACTGATGGAACTTCGGCAATGTTAATTTCCATGTTGCTTTTTATTTTACCAGCAGAAAATCCATTTTCATCAAAGATTGTTGACAGACTTGTCGAGAATAAAAAAGATGAGCCTATTCGTACTGTAATGACTTGGAAATTGATGAGAGAAAAATTTTCTTGGTCAACCCTCTTTCTGTTGGGAGGAGGATTTGCTATGGCTGATGGAGTAAAGAAAAGTGGACTTTCTGAATTGTAAGGTTATTAATAAAGAAACAATTTTAGAAAAATTATAATTTAGGCTTTGTTCGCAACTTTCAGGAATGCAATGGTTGCCTCCTTGGACATTTATAGCCTTTTCTAGTGCTATAGTTTGCCTTCTAACGGGTCTGAAAATTTTAGGATTTTATAAGCCCCCAATCCTCCAGCAACCCCTCACAAAATTTTATAGACATGAAAATAAGTTTAAAAATATTTTGTGGGAAGATCAGACAAAATTCAGTTGATTTTTTTTATTTTTTAGAATTCACCAGTAATATTGCTACAGCATCTATTTTTATGTAAGAACATCTTCACTTTTTAACCAAAAATATTTAGTAAATATATTTTTAAAAATTTGCTCTTTTTTAGTCCTATGGTTGCCTCAATTGCGATTGCTCAAAATATGAATCCACTTATCTATGTCTTGCCAGTATTTTTTAGAATATTTTTTAAATAAAAATAATTTTTTCTTAGGTCACCTTTGCTTCATCTTTTACTTTTATGTTTCCCGCTGGCACCCCACCAAACGCGATTGTCTTCTCTGCAAAAATATTGCATGTTTCTGATATGGTTTGAGAATTTTTTTTGAAAAATTTAAATTGTAAAATTAAAAAAGATTTTGGGTGGATTGGTTCTAAAAATTAGTTCTTTCATTCTATGCCAAGTATTTGCTCAGACATATGCCTATTTAATTTTTGATATGGAAGGTTTTAATGTCTCGATTCCATTAACACCAGTTGCTCCATAAAAGATACTAATTAATTAATATTTAAAATAAGGCATTTGGAAGAGGATTGAGAGAGTGCCCGTTTTTGAAGCCGGGATTGAAGCTTCTGATTTGAAGCTTCTTTGAAGCTGGATGTCACGGGTTACCCGAAATCAGGAATTTTTCAACCCGAACCTGACCTGTAATAAATTTTCTAAAACTAGACCCGAAACTTTACCCGAAGTTTTTCTCAACCCGTGGTGACATCCTTTTTGCAGGCTATTTTTAAGAGAAAAATTTTTCGTCGAAGCGGACAACTATCTGTCTTTAATAGTGCCATTTATTTAATTATACTTTTACTATTGTTTATACACGATTTTTTTGTCATTCACCTCATTTTTATCATTCCTAAAAAAATTAAATCGAAAAATTGTACAAATAAAAAAGAAGGATTTGTAAATAAATATTTTTGTCTGGACATTTTGGTACTTTTATTTGTTGTCTGTTGACCAATTCTTTCAGTTAATATTTTGAAAAGCTAAACTTTTTTTCGAAAAACAGCTGTATTTTTTTATTTTTTACGTGTAAATTTTTGATTATTCACTTTATACTTTTATTAATTTTTTAAACCTTTTTAGGCGAAATTTTGAACTAAAATTCGAGAAATGCTACAAAAACTTCAAAGTTGGTTAGTAAGGCAAAGAGACCAGTCAGCTGTGTCTTATAGTCGCTTTGGTCGTCCAGGTTTGCTTTTAAACATAGAAAACCCGTTTGAACATAAATTAGGATTTTGGTTGGGTTGTAAAGAATAAGTTTTTTTTGTTTGTGATATTTTGGTTATTTTGCTTTAATTAAAAATGAGAATTTTTTGTTGGATGACTCATTCGACTAGATTCAATTTTCGTTTCTTTTAAGTAATTTTTAAAATTCTAATATTCTAAGATTTGTCCATAAACTTGGACAATTATGGGTAAGCCATATTTAATGTCAAGACTTGGTTTCACAGTTCAGAAAAAATCCACAACTCATTCTATTTCTTCAAAATAAAATATTTTTAGGTGATGAGGAGGAAGATAAACCACCACCTACAACAATTGTCGTTGCCCCATTTAATGAAAATGCTCCGGAATATTTTCTTTTTGGTTCTTGTCATGTTCAAAAGGCTGCAATCGTTTCTATTTTTTAAATTTTTTTATCTAATTTATTTTTAAAGTATTTTGCTGCTTTTGGAATGTCAATAACAATTTTGATGTTTATTAGTACGTTCTTTGAATTTGATTGGTATCATTACAAAAGAGGTGTTGATGTGGGTGCTGTTATAGGTCTTTTTCTATATTTGGCTATTGGAGTGCTTATTCATTATTATGTGATTATTGGGGTTAAAAGACAACTATCACGTTATTTGCTTCCGTTTATTTGTGTTTATACAATTATATGTGTAACTGAAACTTGTATGTGTATTGGACTTTTGTAGGTTTTTTTAAATAAATTTTATTTTAGAGTGAGTCTCTTTGGGAGTCTCTTTCGGGTTTCGTGTCTCCCGCAATTCCACGCACTTTCTTGGATTTTCTGAAGTTCCATCATTTTCGGCCGTTCTTCCATTTTTATAGGAGCCCATCCACCAATTCCATTACCAGAATTCCATACGTTTGAAAAATAACAGTCAAATACGTGGAAGTTTAACAATCCACATTTCGGCGTCTTTTGAGGAGTTTGATATTCAGGCGTTTGGTATCCATCATCATTTCCAATTTTATACTTCTCTGACCTTTGAAAATAATTTTTTATAAAAAACAGGTTTAAATTATTGGATGCCCAAGTTACTGAACCTTATCATCGTGTACACATTCAAATGGATGTTTATTATCATTCTACTACAACAACAACACCTCCTTATGCAGCTATTTTGTTTGGGCTATTTATTGTTCTTGCTGTTCAATTTTTAATGTTGGTTGGCGTTTTGCGTTGTCGACAATTTCTTTCGGCAAAACAGGAACATGAAATGGCTATGAAAGTTGCCGAAATGAGTGTTTGTTTTTTTTAATTTGGTGTTTTTAATAATTTATATGGTAAATGCTTCACTGGGGTTACACCCCAACTAACTTTGTTAAAAATTATCGAATCCGTGAGTATTCGATTCAGATCGTCGAGTCGCGTCAAACCATACCGGAAGTTCCAGGTTCGATAATTTTGAACAAAATTATAGCTCGGCGGTACATTGATCTCGCTGTACATACGTTGGTAACCTCCCCTTTTCCTGAATTCCACAAAATTTTTTCTAAAATTAATTTCCAAATTTTTTAAGAAAACTCAATATCCAACCATTCAAATTGTTTTTGCTTCTTCTGGTAGCGGTACCGGACCTTTTAGAAATCCAGCACCTCAAAATGGCATTATTCTAAATCCTCCTCCCGTATTTAATCCATCTTCTACTACTGCTAATAATTATTCTTCTCCAATTCCACAAACGCCTTTTCACAATAAAAATGATGATGATTCATCAAATTCTTCACCTACAACAGCTTCAAATTCGTCTCCAATTCCTCCAACGCCTTCGCATAATAATTCAAATAAACAATCAAATGAGCCGCCAATGGAGAATATTATTATTTGAAAAAAATTTTTTAAGATGAGAAAGAAGAGGAAAGGTTCTGAAGTGAATTTTTTAAATAAAAATTTTTCTTCTTTAACATTAAATTCAAATTTTTATTTTTAACAGGTCTATTTACTTACATAATTTTTTTCATTTTATAGCTTTTATTTATTAAATGGCCTGTATTTTAATAATATGTCTGACCTCACTAGATACCCCCTTTATCATATTCATATCCCGTTGGCCGATTCTTTTTTTAAGATAAACTTCATCTTATAGGATGCAATTTTTTCAACCCCAAGGAGGTACCTAAAAGTGAGGTCCGACTATTTAAAATAAATGCATAACATTAATTCAGTTGTTGTTACAACCAAATATTTTTTTTAATTTAACAAAATTACTGCAATTCTTTGCTAAATTTTTTTTCCTAAAATAAATATAAAATGTTTCTTTTTTAAAGTTTTTAAAATTTGATTAATATTCAATTTTATTATTTTTAATTTTTAACTTTTGTTTTATTAATTTCTAGTAATTTTATACATATAAAAATGGAAGGAATGCCAAGAGCCCCAATGGTTGCACCAGACATGAGAGTACCTTCTCAAGCATTTCCTGAACAGTTAAGACCTGCTATTAAAGAGGTTTTTTAGTTTTTTATTATTTTAAAATTTCTGTTTTTAAGTACATTGCTTCGCATTTTCATGATAATCCGAATAAATATGATTCATCGCTGGATGAATTGGAACACTTACGAACGGTTTTAATTTTTTTATATTCTGAAAAGTTTAAATTTTATGTGTATTTCAGAAGTAGAGGAATTATTCCACTAGGTGTAATTTCACTAGGGTGTATTAAAGTTTGTATGATATAGCAGATAAAACTTACCGACTTTTGAATGAAAAGAACCTTTTTTAAATAAATTTACTTAAAGGTTGTTAGTCATTGTCGTGCTGATGTTGAAGCTATTTGTATTTCAAAACGTTATTTTGCACAATTATCAATGATGAAAAAACGTTTTCCAATGGAGGAACATGATCCAATTTCTATCCCTTTCGCTTGGTTTTTTAAGATTTTTCTTTTAAAAATTCTGTTTTTTAAGGACTGACAGAGGTTTTGATTTGATGAATCAAGTAATTTATGAAGACGTTAATTTTGAAATGTGTTGTGTAATGTTAAATATTGGGGTGGCACATGCGCTAGTTGCAGCGGATGAATCACGACTTGAAATGGATGTATGGAAATTTTTAATTTAAAAAATTTTTTCCGGCAAATGTTTTTCCGTAATTTCTTTGCCTTCGCCCCATCTTTCTCCTTTATAAAAAAAAATTTTTTTAAGAGTATCAAAAATGCTTTTATGCATTTCCAATGGGCTTCATGGCCGCTACAACATTTGAGAGATCATATGGGTGCCTCACGTTTTACTCTCAGCGATTTTGAATCTCCTTATTTGACGTTTTATTTAAATATATTTTTGGTTTGTTTTTGTGAGGAAATATTTTTTTAATTAAAATTTTTAAAGGCCCAGGCACAAGAATGTATGTTAGAAAAATCAATGATAGATCATCGAAAGCCTGTTGTTATTGCTCGTGTTGCACTCCAAACACATGTAATGTATCGGAATTGTGAAGCTTATTTGAAGTCTTCAGGAATTTCTGATTTACTTTCTTCAAGCAAATATTCGGTTAGAAAATTTTATTTTTTAGACTATTGTTGGACACAAAAGGTTATTTGAGCCGGAACTTGAACCTGTTGTTATTAACTGGTGTTTTTGCGAATCAGCGGGAACCTAAAACAGGCGGTACTCGAAAACCGGTGACCAAAAGCTAACATACGTTTCGGTTTTAAAAAACGTCCCTAAAGATGGGATTTTTTGGGAACCGGTCTCGGTTAACCGAAAAATCGAAGGTAATGGTTAATAACCGGTCGTGTCCAACCTCATTTTAAACAGAAATAATTTTTTAAAGGAGCTTGAACGTTTTTGTACCACAAAATCATTTTTATATTCTGCCCTCTACAATTATTATTTGGGACAACAAGCTGAAGATGAAAAACAATCTGGGACACGTTTATTTTATTTTTCTCGTGCTTTGGATTTGATAAAATTAGCACAAAAAGCTGTTGAAAAGGAAAAGAAGAAACAACAACTTGGAGAAACTGTACAATTTGCTTTTGATGTTATTTCACTTTGGTAATTTTTTAAAAATAATTTTTAAACTTGGTGCCTGTGAATAAGGTGTCCGTTTATTTTAGACATTTCTTGTGGACTTTATCTATCAGGGCCCGAAACCCGGTCGTGTTTTTTCAATTTTTTGCTTTTTTCAACTTTTTTCAACCCGAAATCCGATCCAAAGCCCAATCGGAAGAAAATTTTGAAATACCGCTTCGACTTTTTTTTCTCCTAATCCCCTAACTGGCCCGGACTCTTTCTGTCCAAAATTGAGGAAAATTTTTAGAAACCTCGATCCCAGACCAAACTTTTTTCTCAAACCAGGGTATCCCTTCTCCCTAGAACTACAATAAATGTCCTTTAATTTTAATTATAAAAAATTATTTTTTAAGTGAAGAAAATGCTCGTAAAGAAAATAATTTTATTTATCACGAAAGAATTCCATCAGAAGAAGAATTAACAAAATATGAAGGTGTAATGATGGTTAAACCTTTAAGTTTTGATCCCTGTGATCCTTCTATTGCTGGTGATGATTTATTCCGTGAATTACTTCCAAATGATGTTGTCAAAACAATTTCATTGTATAGTGAAGAAAAAAATAAATTTAAAAGAGAAATACTTGATTTGGTTGCACAAAAGGATTCGGAATTGGAGTATGTTAATAAATAATTTGGTTAAGCGGATTAAATTTAAAGATTATAAGAAAAGACTGTAGGGTTCGAATCCTTTCAGCTGAAAACTTTATTATCTGTCATAAATTTTGTAAAATCTGGCTTTGGGGTGAATCCTTTTTTGGTTTAAAAATTAAAAAAAAATTTCAAACGTTAATTTTTGTAGAAATTACTTAATTTCAATGAAGTTTGATCAATTAGAATTGGATAGACCTTCTGAAATGGTTCGACTACCAGATGAACTTTTAACTGCGAGTGCAGCTTTGGCAGCACAACCAGATCTTTTCTGTGATTTACTTGATAATTTTCAAAGTTTTTTTTTAATTTTTAATAAACAAAAAATTTTTTTCTTTAGAAGTTTCCTCATTAGCTACAGAATCAGAAACAAAATTGTCAGAATTAAAACAAAGGATGGGAAAAGTAACAGATTCATTTTTTACAAATGACCAAGGATTTATTGCGATAAATCGCAAATTGGATGAACTTACTAAACATGAAGCACAAGCAAAGTTTTTCTTTTTTTAAATAATTTTTGCAATAAGAATCTTTTAGGGAAAATAACACCGAACTTCAAAGAGCAATGGCTACACATTCTAGTAATCTGAAGATGCTTAGTATTCCATTACCCGAATTGACAAAGAAAATTTGTGGAGATTTTACAAATCCAGGTTTTAAATAATATTTTTTTTGAAATTAGAATTTTTGTTTCTGGACTATGTCGTGTCCCATAAATGTGTTATTTTGAGGGTTTTAATATTTTCCCAGCCCTGGTGGCTTTAGGCACAGACAAAGGATGTCACTGGTTGAGAAAAAGTTTGGGGCCATGTCTAAAAAGTCCTGTTTCGGGTACCCGTGGCATTACTGACCCAGACTCCAAAAAATCTTACAAGAACCAAAAGCAAATATTAAAACCTAAAATCAAATAAACACCATGAGACATGACATGAAGCAAAATTTTAATTAAAAGAAATCCAATTTTTAAATTTTAGGCGACTCTCCAGAAGGCAAAGAACTTCGCCGTGTTATTGATAAGGTCGACGAAATGCGTTCTCAACGTTGTACTTTAATTAAACAATTACGTGATGATTTGGAAATGGATGATATTACAAAGAGGGCATTAACAGAAAGAGAATTAGATTCAAAACAATTATTTGAAAATGAACTACTAAAACACAAAAAATTAAAAGAATTAATTGAACAAAATTTGCGTGCACAAACATTTATATTGAAGTCGTTGACTGAGAAGAATGCAAATTTTGCTGATTGTAGGAGGCAAATTTTGGAAGCAAATGAAAGGTTTTTTTAATTTTTAATGATTTAAAATTTTGAGTTTACCTCTGAAGACCTCCCACTAAATGCCTATTGCCTGTGAGGACCTACAAAAGGGAACATTGGGGGGATATCAATGGATTTGGTGTGATTGAAGGGAATTGAGATCTCTCTACTCACCCCAGAGTTGTAGTACTCACTCACAATACCTTTAGGTTCTAAAATTTTTACCTTTCATAGAGCTGGTGCTTATCCCCTTTAAACCTTCAATATTCACCTTCAAACGTTACAGGTTCTTCAGAGTTGATCGCAAAAATTTTTATTTAATAATTAAAAATTTTTTTTAAAGTCGTGCATTGCAATCCCTTACTTTGGTGACTGCTTATCAAACATTTATTGATATTGTCGAAAAAACAAATAAAGCATTAGAATTTTATGATCAATTGTTAAAAGTATTAATGGCTTTGGAACGTGGTGTAAAGAATATTGAAGAAATTAGTTTTGTTTTTTTTTAATTTTTTGAAATAAAAATTTTATTTTCTCTTAAAGATAATCAAATCACACTTGAAAAGGAGAAAAAACGCCAAGCTGAAGATTCGAGGCGACGGGCAGAAATGGCTGCACATGAAGAGAAGTTAAGAAAGGAAGAAGCTGCAAGAGAAGCTGCGCGTACAATAAATGAATTCCGTTTTAATCGAGTTTAAAAATGTATAAAAAGGATTTCTATTTACACGTAATGTGAATAAATACCTAAATTTTTAACATACAAATATACTAATTTGTTGATTTTTAATCGATTTTTTCGAAAATTACTAATTTTACATTGTCTTAAGGGACTAATTTTTCTATCATTTTTTTGTTACTACCGAATTATCCCCAATTTTTCTTTCCTTTCCTCCTCCTTTTTTAATAGTAAAAATAGTAAGAATAGTCCCTACTCTGAATCAGCGACCCTGAATTGGCTTCTTTAAATCGGCGACTTTGAATCGTCCCTTACCCCCCAAAACGGCGCGCGACCATAACGGCGCAAGGCCATAACTTGCTTCTAAATTTCCGAATCTCGATAAATTTAGTATTGAACGATTTAACTCATCGAGCTAAATATTTTGATACCAGAATTGATAAGGACCATAAGTTTTTCAGCAAGTTATGGCTTTGCGCCGTTTTGGCCGCGCGCCGTTTTGGGTCTTTCACCCGTTTTTCTCACATTCGAGAAATTTTTGTTTTTCAAATTTTATAATATTTATTTGTATTTTTTTTTAAAAGTCGCTTTACTTATAATTTTTTTATTTAAAAACGTGTGAATTTTTCTTTTTCGTTTAGTTTTAGCAAAATGGATAAAAATCCAATGTCTTCGCAATATGAAATTACTTCAGCTTTATTGAAGCAAGAACGGGAAAAGAATAAGAAATTGTTAGAAGAGAATCAAGCGATGAAATTGTCAATGCCCAAATTACAAGAAGTGAAACAATTAAAGCTCGCAAAAGAAGTAAATAAGAAGATGAAAGCAAGAATGGATTTAATGCAGAAAAAATATCAAGAAAAATTGAAAGAATTACATGATAATCCAATATCTTCGGAGCTTGTTACAAACTACAGAAGAGTATCAAATTTATTGGAGCTAGAAAAAGACAAAGCCAATAAACTGGAAGAAGAAAAAGAAGCGATGAAATCGTCACTGCCTCACGTATATCAATTTCAACTTGAAGCAAAGCGAGAAAAAGAAGAGAATAAGCAATTGAAAGCAGAAATGAATACAATGAAGATTAAACTAGACCAATTACAATCTTTAGTTGATTGGCAAGATCGACGTGAGATGTATGGACTTGAAATATTTCAACCGAAAATACATCAACTTCCTGATAGGAATATGGAAATGGAGGTTTTGTTTATTCTTATTTCTTAGATATTTTTTGACTGTAGAATGAGTTGTTTCCATCCCCCTCCCTTCCCTCAAACCTTCTACCTGGGTGAGGGCTTTCTTAGGGCTTTTCTGACCAATAAGATAGCCTAGCTCTGAGGTGCCTTTAGTTTTATTAGTGAAAATACGGTTTGGGTGAAATGTGCGGACTGCGGACACGGGGTGAGAAAACCAACTTTTTATAGGTGTTTAAGCCATCCCTCGTCTAACATAAGTGTTGTAAGGATTTATTCTTACATTTGAACTGAAAATAAATAAATATATTCTATGTTTTTAAGGAGGACTCGTTTATGCTTGAACCGCTACAAGAAGAACAACCCAAATTACAAGAAGAACAACCCAAATTACAAGAACAACCTCGCAAGGTCTCAACGTTTAGCTTGTTATTTGATGGGAGTCCCGAAGATCTGGCAGAGCCAGAAGTCTTTAGAATGCGTGATAAGGTTTATTTTTTGTAATATATTAACTTATTAATTAATATATTTTTGCAGATTCCTGTTAAGAAGCCTCTACAAAAAGAATTGAACATGCCACCAAAAGTTCCAGCAGCTCCAATACCAAAAGTTCCAGCAGCTCCTTTGGAGCAGCAAAACATCTCAACGACAAAAGAAGCAAGAGAACGAAGCAGAACTGATATTAAGATTAAGGTTATTAAATTAATTTGTTACAGCTTTATGATTTTATCTTTTAAGCCTGCTAATCAACAAAGCGACAAAAATGATGATGGAGGAAATCGAAAGGAGAAGCCAAAGGTTAATATTTTGTTTATTGGGGAATTTATTTATGGCAGATTTTGACATCCGCTAAATTAAATTATTAACTTGACGGATTTTGGTACTTGTGGGGTATCCCAAGCCAGTTATTGCGGGCAATTTATGCGGGAGAGTATTTCTCACACATGAATTAGGGGTACTTGTGGGGTATCCCAAACCAGTTATTGCGGACAATTTATGCGGGAGAGTATTTCTCACACATGATTCGGTTCTTATTCTTGAAGATGATGAATCATAGTATAGAGACTGATAGAGGCAAAGAAAATCAGTTTTCAGAAAACCTCACCCATTTGCATTTCCATACAAAACTGCTTTCTCCAAAATGTATTTTGGAAGCCCCTCACTTCATTTTGCCCCACACCTTGTATGCATATCTTTTTTTTATTGGTGAACTCATTTAAATGATGCCACAGGTGAAATTTGGTAAAATCGAGGAAGGAAAACCCTTTGACCATTCCGTACATGAGTCCGCATAAATATGTCCGCAAACACTGGTTTAGCATAACCCACAAGTACCCAGTTTTATACGATATATGATTTGCAGATACAATTTTAATTTGTTTATTTTTGCAGAAGAGAGTTGCTGATGAACACATTGTTAATGAACGCCACGCCATTAGAAAAATTCGATTTGTAGACGATAAAAACGAAGAGGAAAAAGATGTTTCAACAGCAACAAAAGGAAAAGAAGGAAATGCTAAAGAAAAGGAGTCTATTCCTGTTAAGAAGCCTCTACAAAAAGAATTGAACATGCCATCAAAAGTTCCAGCAGCTCCAATAATTACAATAAGTAGTCAGCAGAAGCAACAGAATATCTCAACGACAAAAGAAGCAAAAGAACGAAGCAGAACTGATATTAAGATTAAGGTTATTAAATTAATTTGTTACAGCTTTATGATTTTATCTTTTAAGCCTGCTAATCAACAAAGCAACAAAAATGATGGGAAAATTCAAAAAGAGAAGCCGAAGGTTAATATTTTGTTTATTCGGGAGTTTATTTTAGAGAGCTTTTTGGGAATCCGGCGGCCATTCAATTTTTCGATTTATTTTAACCTAAGATTTATTATGTTTGGATGGTTTCCTACTGAAATTTCACCCAAAAATTTAATTGTTTCTAATTTCAATTTTTGATTAACCTTTTTTCTTTTTCAGGAGAAAAAATTTTACCGAGCAAAAGGAAAGGTGGGGAATTTAAAAAACATTCAAATAGAATTTTAAATTTTTAGTATTTCACCAAAAGTGAAAAGAAGAGAAAAAGGCGTGTTAAATGGGAAGCAAAACAGAAGAAAATTGAAGAGTGGAAGGAGAAAGAAGAAAAGAAGAAGAGGAAGGGAGAAAAGAAGACGAAGAAGGAGAAGAAAAGAAAAAATTAAATGATTTATTTTTGTTATTTTTACAATGGAATCTTTATAACGACGTTTATTTGGTTAGCATTTCTGTCCCGAGGTCAATTTGACTCTAAAACGGCTAAAACAATGTCAGTGTATAGAGACTCCATTTATTGACATTCTTGCTTCTATCTTTTATTTTGTTATTTTAAATTTAATAGAACAAATTTCCAATTAAAAACTAGGAATCAACAAATCGGTTTTAAAACCGCTATATTTTTAAATATTTGTTTCAGAATTCAAAAATCTGCGATATTTGGCATAATGCAAAACTTTAAGACTAAATGACACTTCATCCCTAAAATCAATAATCGATTTTTGATGCTTCTTTTGGAGTTCTCTGTTGTCCATCTTACCAAAGATGTTCTAAACAGAATGTGTGGCTTTTCCTTTTTTGGGGTTTAACCTTTTTAGGAGGGAGGGTAGAATTAAGTTGCGGACAAGACTTGCTTTTTTTTCAATTTTTGAAAAATTTATCCAATTTTTTCAGTTCTTCAGCAGCAGCAACAACAAAAGTCCCACATATGGGCACAAAAGGGTACCCACAAAAGCCCCAGAGTCTCTTCGGAGATATTTGGGCAAAAGCCCCAGAGTCGCTTCGGCGATATTTGGGCAAAAGCCCCAGAGTCGCTTCGGCGATATTTGGGCAAAAGCCCCAGAGTCTCTTCGGAGATATTTGGGCAAAAGCCCCAGAGTCTCTTCGGAGATATTTGGGCAAAAGCCCCAGAGTCTCTTCGGAGATATTTGGGCAAAAGCCCCAGAGTCTCTTCGGAGATATTTGGGCGATGGCTTCACTTCAACAGTGCAACGATTAAACTCCAATGTTCTCGTCTACATGGTTAGCTTTTTTATTTTATTAAATTCGCAAGTTTTGTCCGCAAGGTTTCCCCCCTAAATAAGTTTATCCGTTCCCAATGTTAAAGCCAATTGAATGGTGGCCAAGTTCTTGTCAAACGAGAAGAGTACAGCAAATGTTCCATTGGTTAGATGCGTTGATTTGCTTGTTTTGAATGGTTGATCTTTTTATAGGTTGTTTTTATGTTAAAGAATTTTTTTAATTGCTTAATTTTCAGCTTTGAGAGAGTATCCAGAAGCCTTAAGAATTTTTAAGAGGTTATTTTTTAATTATTTACTATGGTTTCAAGATTATTTTTTAGGCCGATGACTTGTTGCGGGAAGACCGTCTATTTGATGTGTATGCTTTAGAAGAGCAAGAATCAGCAGAAAAAATGGCTGAACAACTCCAAACTTTTGTTGAATTCAGAAAATTAGGTTTGGAAATTAATTTAATTATTTGGTTTCCACAGGTTTTCGTTTATTAATTCAAGTTTACCCCTTTTTAAAACCTACTAATTAAAAAAATCCCCGTTATCAATGTTTAAATCTCCGTTCAGTTGCTTTTCTTGATTGTAGGGGGGAAGCAACTGAATTCTTAAATGAATGAATCTGAATCAAATTACACCAAACCAACGCGATCTAAAAAGTTTTGACCAAGTTATGATGTTTGTTTAAGCTCCTTACTTATGGTCAGCGTGGAGGTTTTTGCAGGCCGCAGCTAAAATAGGTTTATGATACGAGTTTATGACCCAGTGATCGAAGAACCCCAAGCGTTTTTTGTTTTTTTTCTATCGTAAATTTGTTCAAAATTGTTAGATGGCGTTGATTTTGGTGTTATTTTTTAAAAGATTGTTGTATCGGCCCAAATGTATGTATTGATGCACGTGTTAAAATAGAAGGTGTTCGTCTTGCTGACTCTTCAATACTTCCAGATACTACAATTCATGCTCACAGCTTTATTTCTAATAGTATTGTTGGACAACTATTGTTGAGCAATAAAGACAACTATTGTACAAAGACAACTATTGTTGAGCAATAAAGAAGCGATGGAATTATAAAAGAAGCTGGCATAAAAATAATGGAAACGAAAACATAGTTTTTTTTCAAAAAATTTTTTGTTTTTAATTAAATATAGTCGAATTAACCTATTGGAAAAATCTTCGATCTTTCCTCGAAAGTGAAAAAAATTACGGTTTAATTGTCAAAATCCCAATTCTGACTATACAATTATCATTTTAATTTTGCTTGTTTTTAGCTAAATTTTGTTTGAATAAATAAATTTGTTGTCGATTAATTATCATTTTTCATTATATGTTATCGAGGACTTAAAGGTCAATCAACCTCTAGAAGAAATATACTAATCGTGCCAATCCCGCCATAAAGTTCTTTTCCAGGTCTCTAGTAATCTTTGTTTAAAAAGCTATTATGTCTCGATTTTTAAATAAAGTGGAACTTAGCAAGCAGAGATAGAAAATGTTTGAGGTATTTGCAAGTTTGGATGTAATATGAAAAATAAATGACATTTTATCTCAAAGATTAGAGAAATTAAAGAAAGGAATACTGTGGTTAGAGAAAAGAATAAATATAAAATTTTGGGACGCTTCAGTGCCTTATTCTGAGTGTGCTAAGCTACTGTATTTTGAATTAGTTTAGGTTTGGCTCCATGACAATTGTACAGTGAGACAATTGTCTCGGTTGATTAATTGAAAAATTTGATCATAATAAACTTCCCCGTCATTCAACAACTTCCCAATGTTGTATAATAAAATTTAAAAAATTTAATATTTATCATATGGTTCGATACTTTGGGTCAACGATACTTTGGGTGATACAAATTTCTTACCGATAGCGCAAAATTAAATTTCTTTTTAAAAAGCTATGAACTGTACAATTGTCTACTGAACAATTGTCTCACTGTACAAATGTCTAACTGTACAATTGTCGTGCCACCTTACGTTTTAATATGGTCGAAAATCAATATATGATCAATATAATCTAACCTTTCATGATCAATAATTATCGATTTGGCAGCAGAGGGGTGCTTTTACCGGCCGTTTGTAAAATTTTTCAAATTTTTGTCATCTTGTAAATAAAATGATTGAAAATGAAGAAGAAAAGAAATGAAGAAACCAGTGATATTTCCCTTAATCCCTCTATTTTTGAGTTGCAGTTCACTATTTTAGTGTTTTGGAAAGGGCCACCCTTATTGGCACTTATATTAGAACAGAGCTTGAGTTATTTGAAAAGATCGGATGTAAAAGACACTGTCATCAAATAAGACACCCATATCATGATTATCGATCATGAAAGGTACTGTATTTATTACCTATGTATTACACCAAACGTCGTCTTAAATTATGAAATTTTTAATCCTGACAAAACCAGCGATATTTCCCTTAATCCTTCTATTCCGTTCAAATCACGGAACCAATATTGAGCTATCCAATACCTCATACTAGTGGTTTCTAATTCCGATTTTCTCAATTTAGTTAAAACTAAAGAGACATATGTTGAATAAAGAATCTTTAAATTTAATTATTTTTAATATTTTATATATTTTTTCGTATTTTTAGTAGCTGTTCCTAATTTTGTGTTCTGAAAAGTGCCACCCTGTTTGGCACTTATATTAGGCAATAGTCGAAAATGCTTGAGGCATTTTAGAAGATCAAATGTATTGACACTTTATAATTAAATAAAACAAACAATCCCATAAATATCAATCAAGAAAAGTTTGAATTTAACGATCATTTATTGAAATTAATTTAAATATTTCAAAATACAGTAGCTTCGTACACTCAAAATAAGGCACTGAAACGTCCTAAAATTTAATATTTATTCTTTTCTATAACTACAGTATTCCATTTGCAATTTCTCTAACTTTTGAGATAAAATGTCCTTTATTTTTTAATATTACATCCCAACTTGACAACTACCTCAAACATTTTCTATCTCTACTTATTACATTCCGCCTTATTTAAAAATGGAGACAGATAGCTTTCGAAACAAAAAGACTATTAGAGTCGTGAAAACATGAAAACTTCCTTCGTGGACTTTATAGCACTTCAAATAAAAACTGTTAGTATATCTTTTCTAGAGGTCGATTAATTTTAAGTCCTCGATAACGCATAATGAAAAATAATAAAGCATCGACTACAAATTCATTTTTATTAATTTCAAACAGATAAAATTTAGCTAGTAAAATTAAAATGATAATTGCATAGACAGAATTAAGATTTTGACAATCTAAACGTTAATCTTATTGAGAAAATGCCCAAGATTTTTAGGTTAATTCGACTATATTTAATTAAAACAGGGCTCTCATCGACAAAATACCAATCAAAAGTACAAAAATCTTGATTTTAAAGTACATAGGGACAAAATTTCCACATTTAAAGTACACTCAAAATTAAATTAGAAAATACATATTTATTCGTGCTTAAATTTTTATATTTCTCTCCTAAATGAATCTTTTCTAATAATTTCTTGTTTCCACTGAGCATTTTGTGCATTTCAATGCATGACATGTCAAAATTCGCTGACACAAGAAATAAAGCCCTGACAGTCAACCTCAAACAAGCTACTTTCTTTCGTCATTTTTCAGCGCCGCAGGCGAAAATTTTGAGAATTTTAGAGCTCAAGAAGCCAGATTATTTCCATTTTTAGCGCCGCAGGCGAAAATTTTTAAAATTTTAGAAGGCCGTAGGCAAAAAAATTCACTTTTTCAGCACCGCAGGCGAAAATTTTTTGAAATTTGGAGCCCAAGAAGCCAGATTTCTTCCTTTTTCAGCGCCGCAGGCGAAAATTTTGAGAATTTCGAATGCCGTAGGCCAAAAAAATTCACTTTTTTGCCCAATCCCTTCCCCAATTTCATTTTCAATCTAAAATGTTGATTTTAAAGTACATACTTTCAATAAAGTACAAATTCAATTTTGTAAGTACGGAGGTCGATTTTAAAGTACTGTACTTTCAAATAAAGTACGAATGAGAGCCCTGAATTAAAAACATAAAAAAATTTGAAAAAAAAACTATGTTTTCGTCTCCATATTCGTTCTCAAATCCTATTTTTATCCATCACTTCTTCATTGCTCAACAATAGTTGTCCAACAATACTATTAGAAATAAAGCTGTGAGCATGAATTGTAGTATCTGAAAGTATTGAAGAGTCAGCAAGACGAACACCTTCTATTTTAACACGTGC